AAAACCCCGGACGCGGACAATAAAAGGCTCTTATGAGAAGGAGCGAACAGACGACGAAGCGGCTGCTGCTGCTGTTCTCAGGCCGGCACACACACACAGACCTCTTTTTCTGGACTGAGTCACTGCTGATGCGGCGGGGTCAACGATGGCGATGGCGACGGGGTCAACGATGGCGATGGCGACGGGGTTTGACATGCGGGTGGCGGGAGAGGGCGAATGGCGTGTGTGTTGCGCCACGGAAGAGTGCGAGAAGACGTAGAGAGAAAGAGAGAGGGGAGGGGGGGGAGGCCAAGACAAGACAGACGTGGTGAAGACTCAAAACACAAGAGAGAAGTGAGGAGGAGTTCCTTTACCGGTTGGTTCGAAACAGCGACAACAACGACAGTTCGCGCACATCCAGCTGACACGAGAACAACAGCAAAAGGGCTTTCTTCATGGAGCTGTTTGAAACGGGGCCTGTCAGCGTTCAGCAGCTTCTCTTTCCTCTCCACTCATTCCCCCCTCCCACCCATCCGTGCATGTAGCGGCGCCATACGGCTCAGCGACTGCGCTGCTCTTTATTGGTTTTTTGGCTTATCGTTTTCTATATTACTATTGTGTTGGGACCGTAGAGGACGTGCGTCCCCGCAGAAAAAAAGAAAGAAAAAAAGGCGAGGCTCAGCAATGAGAGGCCCGAATCCCGTAAATCAGCGTCACCGCGCTCAAGCCATCTTTCTTCTGCGGTCGCGTTTCTGCCGCGGCTCACACAACACAACACAAGAGGAGCGGAACCGCCCAATAAGGAAACAAAACCCGGCCAAAGCACACACACACACACACACACACAAGACACCGCGTGTGTCGAAGCAGAGGAGCTCGAAACCACCTTTCATAACAATGATGGCAGGAAGAGCTGCGGTATATGTATGGTGGGAGAAGAGAACACCGTCATCATCGCCGGGGTGCCGACTGCAGTTGAAAGAGAAAAAGCAAAAGCGTAGACATCGCTTTAAAACTAATGAGAATAATAGCAATAATAATAAGAACAGTGTTTATATGTAAAAGAGAAAGATACGAAGTAGTTAAGCCTACCACTTTAAGCTGTGGATGTTCCCCGCGTTCAGCATCTCCGCAAACTCCTTCTCGCGATCACGGAAGGCGCACCGCCACAGACCATCGCCGAGGGACGGCGCCACGGCAGCAATGGTGGCGTCCACAAACGGACGACGCTTCACAGCATCCTCAACGTCGATGACCGCCTCCGGCGCCAGCTCCATCCGCCGTCGCTGCGTGGCTTTCTCCGCAACATCCTCATCCTTCTGCCTTTCCACAGGCCTGTCCGCGTGAAGGTGCTGCACATACGCGGTGATCACCGCATCCAAGACCTCGCTGTGCGGTTGCTGCGCTGGGCGGACCTGCCCTCCGCCGTTCAGACACCCATCCGGGCACGCCATCAGCTCCACGAAGGTGTACCCGCGCATCGCCGGCATCTTTTTCTTGAGACCGCGTACGACGTTCTGAATCTGCTGAAAGCCGTAGCCGACGCAGAAGACCTCGCCGGGCAGCGCGGCGCAGGTGGCGAGCTGATGGTTGTGATTTCGTTTGATTTCGTAGTGGACCTCCATCGAGGCATCAAGGCGGGCGCCGTCGCCGGCTGCCGCCGTAGCGGAGGCGTCGAGTTGACGCCGCAGGCGATCGGCGATGACGCACTGATGATAGCGACCGCTGCCGGCCAGTCGAGCCGCCGCACGCGCCGCCGCCGACACGACCGACGCCGGACCGCCGTCCTGCTGCGCCTTCTCCTCTTCGTTTTCCGCGAGGTGCGCGGAGAGCTGCTCTACGGATGATGTTGCCGGTCCTGCTGCTGCTGCACGGTTGGACAGCGGTGCCCGCCATGGCAGGCGGGGGTCCACCTCCTTCATCCATTCTAGCAGCTCCGCCGTGCTGAGGACGCAGTCGGTGTAAAACACCGGTGCTGCCGCCGCCTCCTCCGACACCGCCGGAGATGAAGTCGACGCCATCGAGTCCCGCGCGGCTTCCAATTTGCGGTCGAAGCAAGGCTGAATCGAGATGTGATACAAGTCTGGCGCCACCGTGCGCTTCGCGTAGCTGCCGGCGATGCCTTGGGCGGACATCACCGGACACAGGTGTGGCAGCAGCACAGAGCCTTGCTTTTCGCAGTAGCAGACCCAGCCCGGACAAGCGGACACGATCATCGGCAGCGTCTCGGGGGCCTCGTCGCGGCGCCGCGTGTACTCCTGCGCTGTCAGCGCCGCAGAGAGCTGCTCCGCCCACTCCAAGTCAATGACATAAATCGGTGGAGAGGTGACGGAGGAGGAGACGTGCGAGGCCGGACCGGATGTTGGAGTCGACGCCTCCTCGTCTCCCGGAGCACTCCTCTTTCCAGAGTCCTCCGCGCTGCGTTGTAGCGTACTCTCGGGTGCCGCTGCGGCTTGTGCCTGCAGCCCCGCCGGCGTCAGCACCGTATGGAGAAACCCCGAGATCAAGGCATATGTTTCGTCCATCGACAGACGCACGTAGGCCGCGAGGGAGGCACAGGATTGAGGACTTATACTCACCAACCTCGCCCGGGAGGAGGCTTGCCTGCAGGTTGCGTTGGACGTCGCTCCGGCCGGCCGTGAAGCGGGCGACGTGCCCAACAGCGTTGTGATAATCTCCGATCGGCTCTGCGCGTTCACCAGCACCGTCTCGGCAGTCGTCACGCAGCCACTACAAGCCAAACAGTCTTGCAAGGTTATCTTGACGACATCGGCGTGTCCGCTGCCGCTGCCGCTGCCGCCTGGTGTCACGGCAGGCAAAGAAGCGGCTGAAGCACCGCCTTTCCTTCCACCAGCGACACCACCACCACCACCACCCGCGGCTGCTGCGCCGTTGATCAGCGTTGGTTTAATACACGCAGCGGAGGGAGCTATGTAATCCATCCCTGCCAGGGTGAGGGAGGGTGAGAAGTTCGGTGCACTGGCGGCCATTCTGTGAGCGCAGACTAAATGAATAGGAAAACTAAAACAAAGGCTGTGCAGGGACTAACAAGGAAGCAGGAGTGTCAACAAGTGGCCGGGGGGACCATCGAAGCGAGGAGAGTAGAGGATGAAGGATGTTTGGAAGCTGGAGATGGTGCCGTCCATTAGCGATGACGAAGATTCTTCTCTTGACGGACTCGAACGACGCACTCCGAATCCAAAAACAGAAGAGGAACGAAGTCTTCGTTGCTGAAGGCGCCCCGTGCCGAGTAACCGCTCGCATGCGTTTGCGTGCGTGTGTGTACGAGACGGAAAGCGCAGCTCCCGCACATGGAGGCACACACCTGTTCATGTGAAGATACGAAACAGCGATCGCGAGGGCGGAGGAAAGAGGGATAAACGCCGATCGAGAGAGGCCAGACGCACGCAGCACCATTCGAAGTTGCTGCGCGTTGCTGCGTTGCGTCCCGTCGAACCCGCAAAAACCGCCACCAGAAATAAAAAATTGTCCGCTTCTTTCCTCCGTCCGTTATGATCCTCTCCTTTGCTTTCTTTACCGTGTCCTGTCGCTGTTGCTTGTTCTTTCTTTCTTTCGTTTTCAGTTCGTCGATCAACACAAGACAGAAACATCAGTAGTAATGAGCCAACAAAAAACAAACGCTTCACGCGTGTTAGCGCGGGAAAAGGAAGAAAGAAAATAAGAAGACAGAAGAAATAAAAATAAACACAAAGTAGGAAATCGAATAGCTCGATTGGCACAGTACGGATGGCTACAGAGGTGTGTGTATTGAATATATATATATGTGTGGTGAGTCAAGACAAAGCGTCGGCGGCTGCGTGCACAGAGGCAAAGATAGCAGCAATAGTAGTAGTAATAATAATAATAATAATAGTAATAATAACAAAGGTAATCAACAAACGACGCCGGACCAACCGCACCCGAGAACGAAAGACTCAAAAAGAAAACGTAAGCGCGACAACTGCTAGTGTATTTTCAAAAGAAGGAAACGATGAAACCAGTCCCGCACATCTCACAAAAAGAAAAAGGGAAAAAAGAAGGGAGTTGAAACGACGAGCGAGAGTCGCCACCAAAACACACAAAGTCCCCCCTCTCTCGAGCATCAAACACTGCCCGCAGCGCGGCAGAAAAATAGGCGTTGCAACCGCTGCATTTCCGCGCCTTCTTTTCCTTTCCCCGACGAACGAAAACAAAACAACAAAACAAAGCAACGACAGTGGCACCAACGAAAACTGTAGCAGAGCAGAAGAGAACACCCAAACGAAGACCTCCCTCCTCCAAAAAAACTGAGCTTCTCGTACACGTCGACAGCTTGTACGCGAGCTGTGGAGAGCCTCAACACCTTCCTTGTATTCATTTCCTTCGTTTGCTCTTTTCCCGCTCTCTCTCCATCCATCTCCCCTTCGTCTTTGTTGGTACGCTGGACGGTCTCCTTGCCATGAAAATAATCGCAACAACCCTGTACCGGACACCGCCGTTGTGTCGCTCTGCCATCCCGGCGCAGCCCGCAGCGTCGGACGACACGTGCGTGTCGGCGTGACTCGAACAGTTACGGGAACAAGGTAAAAGAAGGAGAATGTGTGTAGGGGCAAGCTCTTTTGCGAGGCGCAGAGGACTCTTCTCCGTTCACACACGCACGCCAAGACGTGATGCCTTGTTTGATGCACGACGACACGGCCAGCAAAACGACAGATGAGAAGCGAGAGGCGAAGGCGAAGCCAACGCATCACAATATGCAAAGAAGAACACCAGCAACTCGCACAACGACCGCCACTCGACAACTGAGGAGGGGAGGGGGGGGGGGATAGAGGAACCAACAGAAGGCAGGGAAAGTGCCGAATCCACCCTCCCTATCCATCTCCCAAGAGTGGGTGAGAGAAAGCAAAGGACCATATATATATATATATATATTACATACTTCTAAACAAAAACAGAGAAAGAAAAACCATAAATGAACCGAGTTCATTGCTTTCATACAAAAGGAAAACAGCGCTGTCATGATGCCACACACACGCTCACACGTGCGTGTCCACCTGCGTCGCCAACAGCATCAAAATACATATAGATATCACCCCAACAACCATCAAGCAACGTCATTAAAAGAAAGCAGATTACTATTCCCGTCTCTTGGGAACGTGGGAGGGGAAAAGAAAGATGGTGTTATCGTCCAACGGTAACGCCGCCAAACAACAAATGAAGAGAGCTCGATGAAAGTCGATGAAGGCTCTGAAAGAGAGTAAAGAAAAAAAAGAACAGCCACATGAAAAGGTACAAAGAGAGGGAAGTCGATTCAGCTGCTCTACCCCGCGTCCAATTCGTATCGCTGCCGCCCTTATCACAGTTGAGACTGCGAAGCGCGCCGCAGCCAATACAGAGCTCACAAAACACGGTAGTAAATAACAATACTATTAATAATAATAATAAACCCATAATTCTTTTTCTTTCTGTGAGCTTTGAATGTCATCGTTTCCGTTCGCCTTCATGAAAACAACAAAAACAAAACATATGTAAAAAAAAATAGCGTAAAAGAAAAGAAAAGGAGGAGACATCAGCGTCCCTGCGATCGGAGGTGCTGTTGAAACAGGTAAGCAAACGAGCGACGAAGAGGACGAACCACTCATGTGTGTTGCGACATCACCGCTGCGACCACGTGAGATCATCCACCACAAAACAAAAAACAACATCGAGGTTAGGGAGAAGCGCCATTTGAAACCTCGCAGTGATTGAAGTGCAGCCGCGCTGTTCTTTCCATATGTATTCACCGCATTTGCCCCACTTCTGCTTGTCGCTTTCAATCCCCCCAAGAAGAAGAGGAGTTAGCGAACTTTTTATTCTTTCTTGTTGGCGGCTTCTCGTTCATGTCGCACACACGCAGCGGAGGGAGTAAAGCACTGCACGTTCGTGTTCCTCGACAGCTAGCAGGAAGAGGAGGGGGAAGGACAAAGAAAACTCGCACAAGAATCTGTTCCTTTTCTTTTTTTGCTTTCATCCGGGCCGCGATGGATCACCTTGGCTTTCGGTGTTGCGCCGTCACGGCAGCATCGCGGGTGGTACGAGGAATACAAATGGAAGAGATGGAGGTGTGAAATGAGGAGGCGCAGCAACAGCATCAAACCAAAAAAATCCTACGACGACACTCTGCACCCTACGAAGAGAGAGAGAGGAAGGGCTATAATAGCAGCTGTAGTAGAAGTAGCAACGGGAGGAGCCAGGGCTGCACAAGCTGCGCTCATCCCCGCAACAAAGGCGCGTGACAAAGATAGCCCCCGCGTATGCACGAGAGAGTCACGGCGGAAGACGCACCGAGAATACTTCCTTCTCTCACCCGCTGAGACTAGACGTGTGCGACACTACGCGCGCGCCGCTCAGATTCGGCTCATCGTTCAGCGAGCCTTGGGTGCCGTAGGGCGTCGCGGAGAAGCCGCCGACCGTGCCGGTGGTGTTGCCGTGGCTGACGCTGCTGCTGCTGTCCTCCCCACGGCTCGGCGACTCGGCCTGCGCGTTTGGTGACGCTTTGGCGGAGACGGCTAACGCGCGCAGCGGCATGGGAAGGCTCGACTGGGCCTTGCTGTGGTCGTCGGCGTTGGCCGTACTGCTGTGGTCGTCCAGCGGGGCGCTGCCGGCTGCCTTGGTGAAGGGCGACAGCCGCCCAGGGTAGAGAGTAAAGCGTGTGTTTGGCAATCCGTCGAAGTCCGCCGTCGCTGATGGGCGGCGCTCCTCCTCGTCGTCCGCCTCGCCATCGCCGTCGTCGTCGGCAGCCGCGTCGTCAAAGGCGCTCGCCGGCGGAGCCCCGCGGTGCGGCAGCCGTGAAAACCGTCTTTCACCGCGCCCCTCATCGCCGTTTCTGCGGCGGTGCGGCTCCGCCTCCTCATCCTCGTCCCACGACGGCGTCAGCAACCTCTTCGCGCCGTCCGCACCTCTACACACCGCGCTGCTGCTGCGTGAGTGCGACAGCACGGGTGTGTGCTCCACCTCATCCGCGAAGCTGCGCGCGTTCTTCTTCGAGCGTGGCGACACGTTGGTGCTGCTGTCGCTCGGCAGGCCGAAGTTGAAGTGCGAAAAGGCGCGGCGGTTGCCCACACCGAATGGCGAGCCCGGCTCTTCGATCTCTTCCTCCTCCTCCTCCTTGTTCGTGTCCGCATCGTTGTCGGAGTTCCCGAAGCTGCGGTGGGCGCAGGTGCCCAAAAATCCTCCGCGGCAGCCCGTCGGCTGCGTCGCCGACTTGGCCAGAACGCGCAGCTGCGCATCCCGCTCCAAACACATCGACTCGGCGCGCTGGCCGTTGCTCACGGGCCTGCTGTGGCGGACGGGTGCGACAAAGCAGGAGGCCACTTCCTCCTCCAGCCAGCTTGATTTGTCCTGCCTTCCCGTGACCGGGGTGGCGGCCAGAACGCTGGAGTCGGCAGCGAAGGGCGTTGTTGCCGTCGTCGTAGCCGTGCTGGTGCTGTTCGTGGTTGGCGTGGTGCTGTCGGTGGTCGTCGTCGTAGCCGTGGTGAAGGTGGCCGTGGAGTTGAGCTTCTTGCTTTTGTGCAACGCCAGCCGTGGGCGGTGCGGCGCGCGGTGGAAGTTGAGCGTCGGCGACGGCGCCGCCGTCAGCGCCAGCTCCTGCCGCATCGTGCTGCTCGCACGGCTGCTCGCATTGCTGGTGCCTCTGCCCTCCGCCCCTCCGCCGCCGCACGCGCCGCCGCAGCTGTGCTCGCTGCGGCTCGACATCGCCTGCAGCGACGGCAGCAACGCACTCGGCGCGTCCACCGACGACGACGACGACGGCACCACGCCGGTCGCAGCGGGGGAGGACGGGGGCCCGTGGTAGAACTCTGTGTTTGGCACGTACTCGGACAGCCGCTCCTGAAAAGCGAGGTTCAGCGAGACACAACTACGACGCTCTGTCACGAGCTGCAGGGCCTCTTCGTAGGAGCGGTGCTCGGAGGCCATCAGGTAGCCGACGACGATCGCGGGGCTGCGCGAGATACCGCGCCGGCAGTGCACCAACACCCGCGACTTCGCCGCGCGGGCGCGCTCGATGAACTGAAAAGCTTGTCGCAGGTGCGCGGCGACGTCCTGTGAGTGGCAGTCGCTCATCGGGATGGACTCGTAGACGATGTCCTTGTTCCGTGCAATCACGTTAGCCTCCGCGGCGGGGTCCAGCTCCCGGGCGACGTTCAGGACGTACTTGATCCCCAGACGGCGCAGCAGCGCTGGGTTGGCGGCGTCCTTCCACGTCCCCACCCACAGCAATGGCGTGATCTCGCTCAGGGGGAAGCACTGCGCTGCGTTGCAGACTTCCTCCTCCTCCAGGAAAGACGGCTGCGCCTCCTCCACGGCCTTGAGGTCGAAGGCGGGTCGGTTGAGGCCTTGCAGGCGCTGCTTGCACTTGGAGATGCGCGAGGACGACGCACTCGCGTCACTCCCAGCCGCGCAGCACGCCGCCCGCTCGCCGGAGGAGTCCACCACCGTGGTGATGTTACCCGTCGGCGCTGCGGGGCCGCTGATATGCAGCGCCGGGCATGGACTCGCACTCGACTGCGGCGACGTCAGCAGACTGGAGATGTGGCGCCGGTTCGCACCGACCGCCCCGCCACCACCCCGGCCGAGCGGCAGGGAGGCCAGATAGGCGTCCTGCACGCTGCTCGTGAAGGAGAAGATGCTCGAGTCGCGCCCGCCGGTGCAGGCGGCGTCCATACTCGCCGTGGTGGTGGCTGACAGCGCGCTCGCAGGCGTGAAGACGGCGCGGTTGACGGTGCACACGTTTGCGATGCGCTCCTCCAGCCGTAACTCCTTCTTCTGTGGCCTGCCGCTGTCGCCGCCCACTTCGGCCACGGTGGGCGCGTAGGCGTCTTCGATGGTCTGCCGGCACGCGAGTCGCGCATCCTTCGACTTCCCCAGCGACGGTGGTGTGTCGAGGGCCGGCGTCGACGTGTTCGACTTCACGCCACGCACGAAGGCAGAGGCGTGTGTCTCCGTGCACGGCGTCGTGGGCTGTGAGGAGTGCAGCGACACCCGCGCGAAAGATGACGCGTCCACGTCGAGGCGGTCGGCATCTGAGCGGAGACGCAACTGCGGCTGTTGTGGGCGGCGATGACACAGCTCGTCGCCATCATTGCAGCAGTTTCCAAACGCAGAGACGCGGTTCTTGGTGAAGGGCGAGTGGGGAGAGTGCAGCGGCGGCGGCAGCGTTGCCGACTGCGGCACTGAGGAGGTCATCTCGATGAGTCAAGCAAGCAAAGCCAATCAAGCAAGTAAAAGCACACACAACAACAAAAGAGAGAAGTAACCACGAAAGAGCTTCAACGAGGAAAGGCGGAATCTGCGAATTAGAAAAGGAAGAAAAATCGAAAAAAAAATCGAAGAAGGAATCCTGCAGAGCGCGTCAATGAGTTCTACGCAATAAACCAGAATGCAGCGGTGCCAAAAGGCAAACAAACACACGCGAAGTGAAACTGCGAGCTGCTGCCCAGACACGCCCACGAAAAGAAAGCCCGGAAAAAGGCGTACAAAGGAAAAATAAAAATAAAAATGGAAGTGTTAAAAAACGGAGAAGAAGAAAACGCCGAAGACGCGTGCTCGAAGAAACAAAGCAAAAGAAATTCCTCTTTCATATATATATATGAAGATCAACCACACGAACAAGAGTGCGCGGAAGAAACGAAGTTGTAGACGTACAGGGAGGGGGGGGGGGCAGCTGAGTAGCTTCAGTACACAGAGACCAGCAGCACCAAAAACCACCGTGTGCTGTGTGTGTGTGTGTTCGTGTGAGTCTGTGCGCACGTGATGTGAGGTGACTCGTTGATCGAGCGTGCTATCGATGGAGTCCCTCGCAACAACGAACTTGAGTGGAATAAGAAGACGAGGGGCGAAGGAGAAGAAAGAAAATGAAAAGAAGGAAAGCGCAAGATCAAGATAAGGAAAAGGAAAACGTACTAATCGTAGTCGTAATATTAGTAGTAATACGAAACAAGCAAAAACCAAAAACAAACGCAGCAGCAGCAACGGAAGGAAAAAAAAAAGAAGCGAGTTCCCCGTCCTAACCGATGAGCTTCCTGGATGGCGGGAAGACACTACGGCCGCGCTAACGGGACGGCGGCGCCACGACGAGGGTTCGCGGAAACACGCAAAAACGTATATGTAAAAATTCAAAGGAAACACACAGAAAACAAATAAAACAGAACTCAAAATCAAATGCAGCTGCTCTGCGTAGAGGCCACAATCCACCACAACAATCAACGACGAGAGGAGAAACTGAGGGGAGAAGATAAAAGGAAAGGAAAGAGAAGAGAGTAAAGGGGGAAAAACTCCTACAGGATGAACGCAATGAAGGCAGGAGGGAAAGTACACGGAAAACCAAAATAAGAAAGCACAGACAAAAAAAGAGCAACGACAGAGTCGGCAAATTGAAATAGTAATAGATATAACAACGACAGTTCGTGAAACCAGAAGGCACAGAGAAATACAAATGGGTGTGTACTTCTCTCTTTCTCCAAACAAACAAAAAACCTGGATAATGGGATAACGCAAATCAAAATTAGTATTAACAATAATTAAAAAAAAAAATAGTGAGAAGTCAGTCGCAATACCACAAAAGCGGAAGCCAGTTAGAAAAAAATAAATCAAACAAACAAAAGTACTAATAAGCGCAAAACCTGGCTTTTACTTTTTCTTTCTTCACGTCTAAGTTGTTAAATCAAAAATAAAAAATAGAAAAGGAACAGCGCTGTGAACGTCACAGGACAGAACGGGAGAAACCGAAAGAAAACAGAAGAAAAAGAGAGAAGAAATTGATGAAGAGGTGAGAATTATCTTGCACAGAAGGGAAAATATTAATAATAATAAAGGAGACGTTTTTTTTAGAGGGTGTGTTTTTTCGTACAAGTTTTTTTTTGGAGGGGGGGGGGTAGGGCTGTGACGCAGCCGCTGAGTTCGCCCGGTCGCCGCCTTCTCTTGTAGAGACTACTTTCCTTCCTTGGTCGTACACACACTCTCTCTCATACACGCATACACACACAGGTACACACACACACACACACACAGACACGCAACGGACCGGTGAATGGGCAGGTGGGTGTGCGTATGTAAAGCGGGAAGCTGAGAAGTAGGTGTGGCGGTGGTGGCCGTCCAACAAAACTAAAGAAAAAAAAGAAAGGGTAAGCACTGAAGCTCTCAGCGCAGGCGACGAAAGAGGCGGTGTCCGGCCGAGGTCTACCTAACGACTCCACCAACAGAAGGAAAGCAAAGAAAAGAAGAGAAAAGAGGAGAAGGAGAAGAAGGAGAAAACCTACCCAAGGAGGAGCGTGCTGCCACAGGAGAGGCACGTAAGAAAGCCAGAAGAAAAAGAAAAACAAAGAGATCAACAAAGGAGAAGCGGCTGCGTCGTGAAGCCGCGATGGCACTCCTCTACAAAAGCCGACTGCAACACCCAACACGACACACGCGCAAAGCACACGAGCTCGTCACCAAACACGCTCAAAAGGCCAAAAAAGGGGAAAAAAGGCAAGTGATTTCCCGCGAAGGAACGGGGGCGCTCGCGGTTGGTGGGTTGGGCGAAAAAGGAATGGCACTGCTGGGCAACGAAAGCAAAGAGGGGAACAACAGAAAACAACACCGAAAGAGAGAAGTGCGCGGTGGGACGATCGAATACCAATACCGACCGACTCTCAATTGGAGAACTCCCAACCCCGCGAAAGCCCTCGACCTCCTCCTTCAGCCGCGTCTTCGAGACGAACAACGACAACTCAGTGAGTAAACTTTGATCGAATCAAAGTTCGTCGCTTAGAAAAGAAATCGGCCTTCTTCTGCTTTGCCGTGTTTTTTTTGTATTGGGCGAAAGAAGAAGAAAAAATGAGAAGAATGGACAACGACTTCCTCGTACATGAACGCGTGAGAAGAGAGAAGGCAAGAGGAAGAGGTACGTTGGCCAAAGGCGAAAACAACCGCAACAACAACAAAAAAAAATTATCGACAGCGTAGAAACCCGCTCAACGTGGGACGCTCCTCGAGTCCGTCGCGCGTACGTCTCCCTCGCGATGGATATGGGCGTCGCGATGGGCCGCGAAAACGAATCCGAGAGCTGCCTCTTCCTGTCTGCTGCTGTGGTTTTCTCCTCCTTTGATGTTCGTGAAGAAGAGGGACGGATGAGAGAGGAGAGAGGAGAGAGGGGGAGAGACACAACAAACGAAAACAAAAAAGAAGCGGTGAAAGGGGGAAAGGAGGCGCGTGAGCGACAAGAAAAAAAGGAAAAGAAAAGCGATGAGTTCGAGGAAGGAAGAAGAAGTACGGAAAAAGAATTTGATGTAAAAAATATATAGGTGTAACGAAAGGCTGAACAGGGAGAAGTCGTGTACGGTTCACACGTCAGCCCGCAAACATCCACTACAGTAAAGGAAAGGAAGCGAAAGCAAAGAAAGAAGGAAAGAAAAAAATCGTTGGCGTAAAGAGGGTGATTTCTTTCCGTACAAATAATTATTTTTCCTTTTCGCAGATGAAATAAGATATCAAAAGAGTCTTTTTGTTTTTATATATTTTCCCTTCCGTCACTGCTCTCTCTCTCCTTTCGCGTTGGTATGAAGTTGAAGAGAGCAAAGAACGGGGGAGGGGGGGGGGGTCAAAGGGGCAAACAAAAAAAAATGCAAAGCAGCTAATTGTATTTCCTTCCTAGATTGTTTTTCCTTTTCCTTTCTCTATTCCAGTGCACAAGCAAACAGTGTATCCGAGCGCTTGTGTGGTGCGGCGGAAGCGTTGATGATCGTTCGCGCCGGTTCGTGATGCTACGCGACAAGCACGCAAGAAGCACAGCCACCTTGAACGAGTACAACAAAAAAAAAACCGAATAGAATGGCAGACACGACGGTGTATCGTGTTTCTCTGATATTTGCATAAAACGAAGAATTTAGTACACGAAAGAAGGTGGGGCAAGGGGGAAAAGGCGGAAACGAAGGCCAATGAAAGATGAGGAACAACGTGCTGTAGCATCGCGTATGCGCCGTGCGCAGGCGCAGAAGAGAAGGGTTGAAGACGCACGCACCGCGAAGGCGTCGTGCGCCGCCCGCGCTGCAGAACGCACGGACCGCTATCTCTCACACTCCCTTTCTCCCGTTGCCCTCTTTTTCCCTTTTTATATTCATGTGTTGGTTCCTACTCAGCACAGCCACCACCACCCACCACATCTGGGCTGCGCTGTTTGCCTGTCGCATCGCTGTGCAAGGAGGAAGGACCGAACGGAAGCCAAGAAAAGAACAGAAGGGCAACGGGCCACCAGCTGCGCCTACTGCACGCAGCGTTGAGGCCCTTTAATCACATTTGGGAATGCATTCATGCAGATATTGATTTTTGCAAACGAAGAAGCGAAGTACCAGCGAATTCACGCGTGACGATCTCAACTCCTCTCTCCGCCACATCACCGAGAGGCGGAAACACAAACCCTAAACACCAACAAGTGCAATACCACACCGTACCTGCGCAGATGCGCCTTCTGCATTCACCAACGTCACGGCAGGCTTACAAAAAGACGAAGAGAAAAAACTTTCATTTTCCTCATCCCCTACTCAACGTGTTCTGTCACACCGTGCCTCTGCCGTTGCGCCTCGTCCCTCTACCTGCAGCGCAGTGAACACATCTGCTTTAGCCTTTCCTTTCGCTTTTGCCCCAACAGCGGGGAGGGGAGAAGACCGTAAACGCCTCAAAACCGCAGCACCGCGGCGCCGTACGCCTCCTCCCACGCCTCGTCCCCACCGTTGACGGAAGAGAACGCTTTCTCCATCGGTGCTGCTGCTGGCCATAGCGACCCCCCGTGGACCGTGGGCACTACACAGGTGTCGCGCATCGCCGCCTGCAGGGGCGACTCCGCCGCCGCCGCGCACAGCAAGAAGGCCTCCACCTGCGCCAGCCGTGACGCCGGACCCGCTCGACTACCGTGCCGCTGCGCCACCGCATCGAACGGCGCGGCGGCCGGTGCGTCGACGACGGCCACCACCCGCGTCGCCTTCTCGATCCCGACGCTGTCGTCGAGCACGGCAGCCTTCACGCACGTCCCGCTCGTGCACGTTGCGTGGAGCACGGCAGTCGGCGTAGTCGCCCCGCAGTGCGTGCAGCACGACAGGTGCGACGACAGCGTCACCTCGCCGCACTCCGGGCACTCCCACGGGGAATAGCAGTAGTAGTCGTTGTAGTGGGTCGCCTTCGCCGAGTCGGTGCGGCGGTCGGGCGCCCGTGCCGAGCCACCACATCCCGCCGTAGCGCACTCCGCTTCCCAGCTCGGGTGGTCGGCGCGGCAGACCTCGCACTGCCATACGTGCACGGCGGATACCGGCACCCCAGGCGCCAGCGCCGCACACCGCCGGCACGCCGCCTCCGTGTTGTACACCTCCCCGCACGCCGTGCAGCTCCACAGCCGCGACGGCTCCCACGTGGCGGCCGCAACACGTTGAGTGCCGCACCGGTCACACACGTCATCATTCCACCCGCTGTCGACACCTTCGCCGTGGCAGTCGGGAGAGGAGGAGGGGGAGGGCGGCAACATCGATCGCTCCTTCACCGCAAGCCCCGTAACATGCAGCGGAGGCGGCGCACGAAGCACGCCCGTTTCGGCGTCCCTCACCGAGTGGGACGCACCGCAGTGCAGGCACAGCCACGGCTGATCGGCCACCGTCGGCAGGAACGCAGCCACCACGCCGATTGCCGTGTTCGCGCAGTGCGGGCAGCTGAGACTGGTGGACGGAGCGAGGCCCTGACAGGCGGGGCAGCGGACCAGCCGCGACTGCTGCACTGCGGCCAGGCGGCGCGGATGCGGAAAGCTGCAGCGCGTGCACCGTCCGCCGGTGATGCTTGTCGTCGTCTCTGTGTAGTGGCACTGCGGGCAGGTCAGCGTCGGCGTCCGTGCTGCGCGAGAGCAGGCGTGGCAGTAGTCGTGCAGGGCCGAGTTCGAGGCGCCACAGCAGCAGGTCCAGGCAAAGGCCGCGGTGTAGTAGCCCGTGTCGTGACGCCCGCAGACATCGCAGCCGCTGCTGCGTTGTGCGTCCTTGTCGGGGCCCCCATTGCCCTGGCGATCTGCGTTGGGGAGTGATGCATGCGAAAGAAAGGGCGCCTTGGCGGAAACAGTGTGGCACGCACCGCAGACGTGCACGAGGCCGTGTTCAGCAGTTCTCGGTTCTTCTTCTTCGATGTCGTGATGATCACGACGCTGCTGGTGTCGGAGCGCCGGGTGCGCCTCGCCGCAGTGGAGGCAGTACGGCACGCGCGCCCCGCTGTCCGCCACGGTGTGGCACGACGGACACTCCCAGCAGTGCGGCACGAGGTCTCGCAGCACGCAGGCCACACACGACACGTCCGCATCACCGCCAACGTTCCGAAATCCGCAGCCACACACCCACTCCTCTGCGTCCGGCCTCGCATCGCTCCGACCGCCGCGGTGCGGACTGCTGGAGTGCCACGTTGCGATCAGTTGCTGCACCAGCGATACCTCTTCGCTGCGGTGGCGGCGGCCGTAGTGGGGAGTCGGGTTTGCCTCCTCACCGCACCGCTCTTTCTGCTGTGCCTGTGACCACCGCAGCTGCCACAGTGTGGGCGCCTGCTCGCCACGCAGGCCCAGCGGCTGCCCAACCTCACTCGCCCACGCGCACAGCAGCGCCAACACGCGACGTGCCGTGGAGAACGTGGCGGTGTGCGTTGTGGATGGCACGACGCAGTCGCGGAAGAGCCGGTAGCCGATGGTGACGAGACCGTAGCGGGCGGCATCCTTCGCGTGCGGTGTTCGGCGCAGCGCAGACCATATCGGACGTGGCGATGCCTTCGATGCGTGCGTGAGGAGTTGCAGCTGACGCAGCCGCTCGGCGGTGTCCTCAAATTCGGCTCTTTTACTTTCCTCCGCCACCTTTGTATCGCCATTTCGTCCATTCAGCGGAGCGTCCTGCGATGACGGCTGCCTGTGGGCTTGCTGCTGCTGCTGCTGCTGCTGCTGCTGCTGCTGCTGCCGTGCTGGTCCCGCTGGCACGACGGCAGAGACGGCGACGGAGAGCAACGCAATACCGAAGAGACCATCCGTCGGGCCGTAGTGCAGCTGCACTGCCTTAGCGCGCATGCTCTCACCGGCAGCCTCCACAAGGGTGGTAATGAAGATGGAGATATCCGTCGTGGTGGGGGCGCCGAGCAGGGTGTGCACCGCCGCCAGCCGCAGCGCGCCGCTGATGCCCTCTGCTGTCGGCGGCGATGACGTCGCGAGGTTCTGCAACGCCTCCACCACGGTCCGCAGCGCCGCACAGCACCGCTCCGCCTCCTCGTCGTTGTTCTCCACCCACACACACACGTTCATGAGCACCGATGCGACTCGCTTCCACGGCTCCCACAGCTCCGCCGATAGCGGCAGCGAAGGCAGCGACGATGACGCTGAACTGTGCTGTGCGTGCAGACACCGCTGGAGCAGGTGTAGGCGGGGAAGCAGAAACCGTAAGTGCCGCAGTGTAGCGGCCCACTGCTCGGCTGGTGTGTCGAGGCCGCTGTCACGCCGGCCCGGCAGACTCGCGTAGTACACCGCAAGATCGACATTCATCAACAGAGCCGTAGTGCCCAGACGCACAACACGCGTCTCCGCCTCCGACGACACAACCGGACTGCGGCCAGCCGAAGATGCTGCTGTGGCTACCGCTGCTGAAGGGACAGAAGAGCGCCGCCGCCACTGCACGGTCGTTTCTTCCTGCTGAACGCAGTAGGCGTATAACTCTGCAAAGAGCATGGAGGAGTGCTTGTGTCGACGGTACAAGGCGCGGAATTTGTGTAGTAGAAGGGGCGGCGTCAACGTGGTGATCTCCAGCGAGGCCACCGATGTGCTGCGGCTTCTGCTGCTGACTTCAACGCGCACCGCAGCCGCTGCCTCTTCCTCCGTTGTCGTCGTCTCCTGACGGCGCATATCCAAATAAAAGGCTTGAAACACACGCAGCAGCTGCGGGTGGCCTACGTCCCGCAGCGCTGTTGCCGTCGTGTTCCACGTGGAGTGGGAGCGCAAGGTAAATAGAATATCGTGCCACAACTTCAGTCGATCTCGACGGGTGGCGGCAGACGGCAAGTCTGACACGAGTGCATGCGACATGGCCACCCACAACTGCGGATCGGCCGTGGTCAAGTCCGCAACCTCGTACACAACACCAGCGGACGCTGCTGCTGATGCCGTGACCCCAGCTGGCGCCGGCACCCGACGCGCCCTCTCGAGAGCCACGAGCATCATGTTGCTGTACACCTCCGCCGTCACGTCCGCTGCTTCAGCTGCGTCGACAGCCGTCGGTGGCAATGAGATCTGCCCGCCGCCTTCGTCGCTGCCCTCCAACCGCAGCGGTGCATTGCGCATCTGTTGAGTGGCGTCACCGCCTTGCACTACCCACTCGGCGGTGGTGGCCGCAGCCGCCGGTGCCCACAGCCACGGAAGCAGCGGGTGATACGTAAGGGCGGGCAGGTAGCGGATGACTCCAGCGCAGTCCCGACTGGTCAGCGCGCCGCGGTCCCTTAAGCACGTCAGCACGCGCAGCCACACCGCACCGTTCACGTTGTTCAACAGCGCGTGCGAGGCGGGCAGCGCCGCCACTTCAGGCCCGCAGTGCAGCAGGCTGCCGTGGAGAGACGCGCTCGCAGACGGCGGTGGTCCATGAGCAGAGGAGGACGCCGACAGCGCCGCCGTGCGAAGTCCGCCCGCATGCGAGAAGAGCACGTCGCCGCATTCGCACCGCACGTAGTGGTGGAAGTCGTTGTCGACGGCGGGGCCGGTGAGGGGGCCGGCTGCCGCGGAGGCGATGGCGGTGCGGATGTCCGGGGCTGTAGACGGCCCACTCCACCGGCGGAGGCGGCGCCGCGGGGTGCTGTGTTGTGCAAGTGGCCGACGCACATACATGATCGAACCACAGAAAACAAAATTATTCCTATTACATTAAACTAGAAATAAATAAAATAATAAAGGGCTACTGCAGCAAGGAACGCTGTATTTTTATTCTCAGAGAGCACACGTCTCGGTAAGATGCTTGAAAAAACGTGAGAGGGAGATGGTGGCGCTGCGATGGGCCGACGAGGGCCCGGGCGATATCCAGATGAGAGAAGCGTTGACAGAAGGGGAGAGGGAGAAGGGTAAAACTGAAGAATAAAGAAACGTAGTCAAATAACACGAGGAAATACGCGTTGTAAAAGGCCACGAACGCCTCTCTTGCAGCCCGGTTACGATGCGAGCGCGTCCTCAGCGAGAAGGAAACGCCAACGTGGGAGTCGCAAAAAGGTGGAGAGAGAACGCGCTTCCCACCGCAACCGCCAATACAAAATACACAACGAAACACCCTCGCATGTCTCAGTCGTAGAAGCACTACTGAAAGAAGAATCCCCCGCCAAAAAGAAAAAGATCGCTGATAACCCTCGAGCGTCGGCTTGCATGCCCCTGTGCGATCAAAACGCAGCTGCATTGCTCGAGTCCGCTTGCGCTGCGCTTCGCCACGACTTCAGTGATTTGATTTTAAATAACGATTACACGAAGAGAACTAGGCTTTGGTATGAAATAGAATTCTGCAGCAAAAAGAAAGGAAGCAAAGAGAGAAAAGCCGGTCACCTTTAGAGTTACGGACCCACCGGCGTCAAAACACACCCGCTGCGAAATAGCGAAAACACCATTAGTAATGTCAACAGAACATACTCTTTAAATTAGGCGCTGCGCGCTTAACCGTCCGTTTAGTGAGGCATCACTTTTTCTTTCTTTTTTAAGGAGGTATAAAACAATAGAAATGGCGACACCAACGACGTTCCCTGAAGTGATCTTCACAAGATGCAACACGCAATTATTATCCAGTATAATATGAGTACCTACCGCAAGACGAACAGGGGTTGCCCTTAGTAGTCCTGCACTCCCTTGCGCTGGCCGTAGCGGTTCTGCGGGCCCATGCCCATCCCCTTCATCTCCCGCCGCTGTTGCCGCTTCGACTTCGTCTTTGCTTTAGTGGCGGGTCGCACTGGGCCACCGGTGGGAGTCACCAACTCCAACACGCCATCGTCGTCGTCCAGGCGCAGCTCCACCTCGCCTTGTCGGTTCACGAAGGTGTACATGTCCGGCTCCAGCTGGTGGTTCGTCCGCCGCTTGCGGCGACGCTCCACGCGGCGCAGGGCCTCCATACGCGCCTCATTCGCCTCCAAATTGAAGAGTTCATAGCGGGTCAATGTGTGCCGCAGGGCGTGCGGGCGTGCGTAGAACATGGGCGGCGCGGCCTCCTCGAGATCCATGTCGATCGACAAGTTGTCGTCATCACCGGGCTCGCTCAGCGCGCGCGCATCGTCGGCGTTGTCGAGGTCGGCCCACGCTTCCTCCTCCTCGCTGTTCAGCTCCTCGCCGTCGTCCTCCCATTCTTCCTCATCGTCTCCATCACCTGCTACTTCGTCAGCGTCACTGCGACGGTGGTGCTGTGCAGTTGCGGCGGCGGCGTGCTTCTCCACGTACGCCGCAACCGACAGCGCATCTGCACTGGGCCGATACGTTGGCGGCGGCTCCGCGTACACGAAGTAGCCGTCAACGTACAGCTTCAGCAGCTCCTTGCCGGCACGTGCCTTGTTGGGCCGGTCGTGCGAGGCCATGTACCCGCGGCGCCGCGCCACCGCATTCAGCAGCCGCTCCGCGAGGGACTCGCTCGAGTCGACATCGTCCTCGCGCAAAAGCGACACGTTCATCTCCGCCTCGAGCACCTCGCGTGTCATGCGCCGACAGATCGTCGCCACCGCCTCGAGCGTGTCGGTGGCGGTGTCGACCGGTAAGATGCCATCGCACACCATCTGCGCCTTCGTGGTGGCGAAGGAAGGGAAGACCAAACCCGGACAGTCGCACAGCGCCACCCGGCGCTCGTTCGGGATCGGCAGCGTCTGGAAGTGCTTCGTCTTGCCAGGTGTGGCGCTGACGACGACCTTCTTGCAGCCGATAATGGCGTTGATGGTGGAGGACTTGCCCACGTTCGGGTACCCCACGAGCCCAATCATGAGTGGGGTGTTCTCGTCCGTCACGCCCGCCTTTGCACGCATCAGCGCAAATTTGTCCAGCAGCTGCACCGGATCCAGGACGTCCCAGGGCTGGTGAGTGGCGGCTGCTGTGGCGGCCCGCGCATTGCGGGCGAGCTCCTCCTCCGTCAGCGGCTTCTCCACCTTCACCTTCGGGGCGTTCGCCTGCTCCTTCAACGCCTGCCGCTTCGCTGCCAGCTCGTACGGATTGGCCACCTCGACCGGCGCCCGCAGCGCCTTCTTCTTGTGCCGCGACTTTTCCTTTTTGTGCTTCATCAGCGGGTCCAGCGCCGCACGCTCCTGCGCGGCCGTCAGCGGCGGCTCCGTCTCCTCGTCCTCATCCTCCTTCCCTGTCTCGTCATCCGCCGCTGTCGCGCTCCCTTCCTTCTGCGGATCTCCGGCCAGCGCCGGTGACGAAGCGATGCCGCCCTCCTCGCCGAGGGCCTCCAGCGGCCGCGCGGAAAAGAAGAAGAAGGTGTCGCCGCGTGACTCAAAGTACGCCGCCCACTCGCGCCGCTGCGCTTCGGTCAGCAAGTCTGACTTGTTCAGCAGCAGCACGACCTTCTTCGGTTCGCCGGCGCTGTTGCGGGTGCCCTGGACGTACTTTTCAAAGTCAGTGCAGCGGAACATCAGCGGGTTGCGCGCGTCGAGGATGACCGACACGACGTCAGCGCGCTCCACGACGCGCCACAGCTGCCGCCACACCTCCAAGTTGCGCTCGTACGGCGTGAGCAGAACTTTGTGCTCCTCCTCCAACATCGCGAGGGAGCGACGCCAGTCGACGAAGGCCGCCTTCTCCGCGACCTGCACGTCGTCGGCGGACATGGCGTAATCCCACTGCGGGCGGCGCGGGATGGTGAGGGACTCGCTCAGCTTCAGCCAATCAACGTGGGCGTCGTCGTTCGGCATCTGCTGCGGCACCACCTTGTCCTGCTGGACCACGTGCACACGACCTCCGATCACGACGCGGACGTCGCGCTCGGCAAAGTAGCCCTCCTCGCGTGCGTCGGCGATGGCGAGGAAGTCGTCAAGATCGTTCGTCTCCCAGATGGACTTCAGCTGGGTTTTGGTGCTGCCGGCCTCCTGCTGTCGCAGCTCCGCGTTGAGAGCGGCGTTGCGCTCTTCTTCGATTGCGTCGCGGTAGTGACGCCGGCCCACCAGCTCCGCCGCACGCTTCGAGCGCTGCAGCGCCTTGCCGAGCGATGCGCTCATGTCGCCAAAAAAAGGAAAAGGAGGAGGGGGTGAGCTACGTCTGCGTCGGCGGGTACGCGAGATGCTGATGAGGCCCAAGAGCAGAGAAGCTGGAGGGCGAAGGCCAACAAAGAAAGAAATCAGCAGAAGCAGCCAACACGAATGAGGAGTGACGTTCTCTTATTACTCCTTTTCTAGGGATGACGCTTCGTACCCCTGCAGGGTTCTTTCGAAGCCTTTTTCAAGCACACGTTGTGGGTCGCTCAGAGTGCCAAACACACACACACACCGATGGACACGACTTCTCAAACTGAACCCACCGTGAAAAGGGAGAATAGCAGTAGCAGCAGCAATGAAGGAAAGAAACGGAAGGAGAGAGGGGGAGGGGAGGAGTTTAAGAAGAGAAAAAAAGCTCGTTGTGAAGACGCAACCGAAATGGTTATGTCGTGGATCCACGACGTTCAACAGCCGAAGCTGCCACCATATTTTATTTATTTTAGACAGTTCAGTTGCCATGCGCGGTGTAACCAGTGCCTTAATTGCTACTTCTTGAAGAAGCTCGCCCACGACAGCCGCAACACGCATCTCAAGCTCTTTAGTAGTTCGACTGCCTCAACACTCAAAGGAAAACAACACTTCATGAATACGCTGATGGCGTTCGGATTGTCACCCAATACGGCGAGTGCTTGAGACTGCGCCCGGCCCGCACCACCACTCTTCCTGGCGGCACTCACTCCTCCGATGCACTGAACGCTTCTTTCTTTTATTTTTTGATTCAAATAGCCGTGAACGGCTCACGCCCCGAAGCACACACACGAGGTGGATTTCTCCCTCCTCCTCCTTCACTGCTCCACAAGCACCACGCGCGCCTTTAATACTGAGGTTCGTACACCCCACCACCCTCGTGCCGCTGCCGCTTAGGCGGCTGACGGAACCCGCTCGCCCCCTCCCCGCTGTCCGGCGCCATCGTCATGGCCGACTGCATCATCGGCGGCAGCGCCGCGCCGGCCTGAAACGGCGGCATGAGATAATTAGCCGTCCGCTCCGGCGCCGGAGGGGCGGCCCCGCCCTGGTAGAACGTCGCTCCGCCGTAGTTGGAGCCCGACTGCTGCTGCTGCTGCTGCTGCTGATCCTGCTGAAGAGGGGCCACATCGCCGCCCCCGGGTTGGCGCAGCTCCGCTACGCCGTGTGCGTAGTTGCACGAGTCCCCGCGGTTGCAGTGCCCCTCCGCAAACGGCTTGCACAGACGCGTCTTGTAGTTCGTGTTGTTCGCCCCGCCAAACCCCCCGTGGTAGTCGCGCTGCTGGAAGGGCCGGCCACCACCGCTGTAGCCGCCGCGGTGCATCATCGCCATCTCCCCACCGTAGTTGCCGCCGTACGGGTTGGCACCGTAGCCGTCCATCGGGGCACCAGCGTTATTATTGCCGCCGTTGTTGTGCTGCTGACCCATCATCATCATCATCGTGGACGGGTCGGCGCCGGCCGCCCCCATTTCCTCCCCGCTGCCGCCGCCGCCTACGCCCACCCCACCGGAGGGACGGCCCGTCGCCTCGAGCTTTTGCAGCATCTCGCCCGCCTTCGCTAAAAGGGACTCCTCGCCGTTCTTCTGCAGTGCGCAGTACACCCGCCAGCTCTGCTCATTGAAGCCGTAGTTGAAGTAGTCGCTCAGCTTCGCACCGGGCTCCGCCCACGGCCGCTTCGCCATTTGAGCGATGTCGTAGCCGAAGGTGGCACTGCTCAGCTGCGGGCCGTTGAGGTGCTGAGCGCAGAGCGGCACGAGACCTTTAACGTGCTCCATCGCCTCCGCCTCCGTTTCTTTCGCCGTCTCCTCGGTGTGCGCCACCGGCACCTCCTCCGTCTGCCCTTCCTCCGTGTTGTTGATCACGAAGACGTCGTCGCCTCCGCCCTCCATTTTCGTTTACTGTGCTTACTTGTGTGGATGTATAAAGGATGGTATGCAGAAGGAGTTTCTGCTCCGTCGTGTGTGTGTGCGAGCGCCGTGTGCTGAGTGGACGTCTGTGTACGTAAACAGAGCCCAGCGAAGAAGGCAAATAACCGCTGCGTGGATCTCTAAAGCTTTCTTTGGGTACACAGCAGACGATGGAACACATGCATCGCAAAGGATGCAACGTGGGAGGCGAAGTGGAAGAGCAAACGAAGAACGACGGTGAGGAAAGAGCGGAGGAGAAAACAGAATCGGCAGGAGCGTCGGTATTCAGCGGAGAGAAACAAAGAAAGAAAGAGGAAGAGCGTGTAGCCCCCCAAAAAAAAGAGAGAAGGGAGCGTGGAAGTAGCACACATCACACGAAGCGGTGTGAAAGAGCCGTACACTCGTGAAGCGCACCCTCCGCTCCATCGACCACCAAAGACATCATGAATAGGAAGGTTGGGAAGTCAAGAGTGGAAGAAATGTCACGACATTTGTGTAATGCGTAACTCGCGAGTCCTAATCCACCACTGCCTTCTAGAAACCTCACCCTCTTTCGCTTATCAGACACCCTCTGATAATGCCCTCAAGTTTATTTAATGTTTTCGCTTTTTCCCTGGCCCCGGCCAAATCTCAAAGATATCATCGCATTACGAAGTGCATGGGAAAAATTACCCAACTCAAGGATCCTTCGGGAGATCCCATGGGTCCCTGTCGTGGTAGGGACCGGGGGCGGGCGGGTGGAATTTTTGGAAGACCGGAGACTTCACACTGGCAGACAATATACCCAGGATGCAAAACCCACAGAAACAGAAGAGTCACGACCAACAGGCGATAGAAGTAAAGGAGAGTATCATGCATTTCCCAAATGACTGAGATCGACGATCCCATCCGCTGACCATATCTTCTTTCTTTTTTCCGTTCCTTCTATTCCCCTCGCAAGCTCTGACAACAGTAACAACAAGAGGAATAGGCTTCCACACTCGCTGCATCGTGCAATCGCAGGCGGTGCGTCACGGTACATAGACAAAGGCGCAAACAATAACAACAACAAAATAAACGCATGTTTCAACGAGTAAGGAGATCAACAGAGGACAAATGGAGGGGAAAGAAACGAAGAGGGCTTTCCTGCTTTCCTCGGCAGAAACGGCGCTGTCGCGCCAAAATACACCGCTACAACCGCGCCACCACGAAACCCCAAAAGCCGTAGGCAACACACCCTCGCAGCACCGCAAAAATTGGCGATAAAAGGGAAAAGGAGAAGAAACAAACAGAAAAAAAAGGAAATAATCAACATAGAAATCAAATCGTTCGTGTGCAACACCACCGTTTCATTCAGCTGGACACACGTGTTTGCCCCCGCCTTTTCCCAACAACAGATTGGGGCTTTCATTGGTACTTCTGCTTTAAATTCGCAATCAGAGAAGGAAAAGAAAGAGAGGGAGGTAAAGAAGGTTTTTTTATATATTTACCCGGAATCAAAACCACACATCCACTTCGCCCGTATCGATATCATCGTTAGGGAGCGCGTTTTTAATTGAGTACGAGTCCGCCACACGCGTTCGCCCTCAGTGCTCGTCCCCTCGCTCCTCTCTTCACCGCAGGTCAACCAGGAAGTTGTCCGGGTTCTCCAGCAGCTCCTTGTACGTGTTCGCAAAGCGCACCATGCTGGCGCCGTCGACGACGCGGTGGTCCGCAGTGAACGAGATGCAGACCAGGTTCGCCGGGTACACGCTGCCTTTCGCATCGAAGCGCGGCAGCTTCTGCAGCCGCCCAATCGCGGCAATCGCCACCTGCGGTGGCAGCAGCACCGGCGTCGTCGTCGTCGCCCCAATTGCGCCGATGTTGCTCAAGGTGAAGGTGCCGCCGCTCATGTCCGTGGTCGTCAGCCGGTTCGCCTTGCCCCGCTCGATGAGGGCCTGCATGTCCATCGCAATTTCGAGCACAGACTTCTGCTCCACGTGGTGGATAACCGGCACGATGAGACCGTTTGGAGTGTCCATCGCGAAGCCGAAGTTGTGCGCCGCCCGGCGGATCGTCGCGGCGCAGTCCGGCGGGCAGTGCGCATTGATGTCGGGGTGCTGCCGCATGGCGATGGAAGCCGCCTTCAAAAAGAAGGGCATGAAGGACAGCTTCACCTTGCCTTGACTCCGCTCCTTCACCACGTCCTTCAGCGCCGCACGCATGGCGATCAGCCGCGTCAGCTCGTAATCCTCGCTGAAGGTGAAGGTGGCAATGGCGGCCGCCTGCGTCATCGTCTTCACCATGCCACGACGAACACCGACGATGGGCACGACGGTGTCACCGGGTTCGGTGACAAGGCCGGAAACCGTTGTACCGGTCGGCGTTGCTGCGCTTGTCGGAGCCGCCGCAGTCGTTGCGGCAACCGGCGCGGAAGCAGTCGCAGGACCACCGGCCACGAAGCGGAGAACGTCCTCCTTCGTGACTCGTCCACCCTTACCAGTTGCCGGCACGCGCGCGAGATCCACCTTGTGCTCCCTCGCGAGAAACCGCGTTGCAGGCGTGGCGAGCGCCTTCCCCCCACCTCTCCCGCCGGCGTCAGCGGCGGCAGGGTGCGACGACGGCGATGACGGTGACTGCTGCTGCGCGGCGCTGTTCGACGGTGCTGCCTCGTGTCCCTCCGGCACGATGTCGAGAAGCACAGACCCGACCTTCGCTGTCGTGCCGGCCTCCACGTACACCGCCTTCACCACGCCGGAGTAGCGCGACGTGATGTCCACCGTAGCCTTGTCGCTCTGCACCTCGCAAAGCGGATCGAACTCCTCTATTCGGTCCCCCGCCTTCACGCGCACGTTCAGCACCTGCACCTCGGTGATGCCTTCTCCGATGTCCGCCAGCTTATAGGGGATGGCAGCTCCACCAGTCACAGCACCAGTGGAGGCAGCAGTAGCAGCTGGTGGAGCAGCAGCAGGCGGTGGTGGTGCCTCCGCCGCTGGTGCCTCCGCCGGGCCGTCGTCGGTGTTAATGTCAATGATAGTCTGCCCAACATGTGCGGTTTGGCCCTTCACGATGTGTACCGCCTTCACCACGCCGGAGTAGCGCGACGTGATGTCCACCGTAGCCTTGTCGCTCTGCACCTCGCAAATCGGATCGAACTCCTCTATTCGGTCCCCCGCCTTCACGCGCACGTTCAGCACCTGCACCTCGGTGATGCCTTCTCCGATGTCCGCCAGCTTATAGGGAATGACAGCTCCATAGAGAAGAGAGGAGGTGGTGAAGCAGCGCCGTGGAGCCGTCTGGCAAGCCGCAAGAAGGAAAGCGCTGCGGCCTGGCAGAAGTCTGCCGGCGGCCCGCATCATCGTGTTTTTCTTTCCTTTTCCAGTTGTGATGAGGTCTGCGTGTTGATGGACTTGTCGGCAAGCACGAAAGGCGGAGAGGAGGGAGAAGATTCGCTACGACGGAGACGATAGAAGCAAACGAACAAATCAATATATATGTATATTCTTTTCTCTCACTGCTACTATTCGAATTGCTAAGGAAGTGAGAAGAGAGGTCGCTGTTTTATCCATGTAAGTTAGAGTACATAAGATGAAGAGACAAAGGAGAAACGGCGCAGTACAGAGGAGAAGGGAGGAGAAATGACACCAGCTTTGCGGTCAGACGCTCACGTTGGCGAGAGCGAGAAGCCTCGATCTTCGTCCTGCGGCAGCTCGAGCTCAATCGGACGGCTCAGCGAACGCTGAAATGTGAATACAAAGGAGGTGGCGGAAGCGCAAAGTCTGCTAATTAGAATCGTTGAAATCGCCGTCACGAGGAGTACCGTTCCAGAACCAAAAAAAGGGGGAAATAAAAACGGTGTAAACGAGCGAACAAAAACAGTAGTAACAATCGCTATGATGATGTGCTTTCGATACGAATGTGCGCCGGCTGCCGGGGTGGATCTCCGGCACAGCGAGAGGTCCATTTCGAGTCAATTTTGGGGAGCGTCAAGAGGAGTGATGAAGACTGAAAGGAAGAAGCAAACCGTCGGGGACGTCGCTGAGCGGAACGCTCCGTCGTGGCACCGCACGCAGGCAAGGAATATTTCTTTTCTCACCCAACGCGTGTGCGGTAGCGGAGATATACATTTACATGTATCTGCATCATCGCACCGACAACTCTGCTGAAGAGCAGCCCCGACACAACACACCCTACTGAAAAAGAATGGGAGTTGCGTGCGATCTCATCCTAACGGGGAGGAACAATGTGCAGCTGCTTTTCTTTCTCTCGTTCTTTCTATGTGTCGGAAGGCAAAGGGGGGAATCTACGTAAAGACAGTTCTAACGGGTTGCAAAAGGCCACGTAATGCGGAGATAACGCGGGAGGGAGTGTTGGACTCAGCGTCGCCTTTTTTAACCCCTCCCGCTTTACTGAGCGTCGTATTCGGCCTCGGTGCACTCGCACCTATCGATGGGTGTCACCGTAATCTAAACACCTACGAAAATACAAAACAAAAGGATCTACTGGAGAACAACGAAGAGACAGAAAAAAAAAACTAAGATGGTGGGCCCTGCAGCAACCTCCATCTGCGAAGGAGGAATGGATCGTCTGCCAATCTCTCCCATCCTCACCAGCTGAGCGCCGCTCCCCTACATCTGTGCGGTCTTGATTCTTCTGCGCAGCCGCACCAGCGCCAACTTCAGCTGCTCCGCCGTCATCATCGGCAGCGGGTGACGCAGCGATGAGCTGCCGGTGCTAGCGCTGGCGCCCGAGGAGTCCATCGAGCTGCTGCCGCCGCTGCTGCCCTCACTCGTAACGCTGGACAAGTGAGAGTCTTCCGCGGCGCTGCTCAGCGGCGTAGAGGTGGACGACGACGGCGGTGACTTCGCCGCGTGTGGATGTACGGGGCGCGGTGGGGTGCTCAGCGGAGTCGTCGCAGCGGACACCGTCGTGCTCGATCGATGCGACACGTGGACCACCGCTGTCTCCGCTGCGTTCACGACCTCCTCTTGCATCAGTTGCTGTGGTGAGGAAGGAGGAAGAGCTGGTGGAGGAGGTTGAGAAGGTGAAGGGATCGGCTCGGGGCTGACCTTGCGACCATCTCCCACAGTTACTGCTGCCGCTGTGGACAGAGGCGACATGGCGATCTCCTGTGACCGCTTCTCCGCCGATGGTGCCGTTACACGAGGTGGCGAAGAAGATAAAGAAGACGTTTGCTGTTGGACCGGTGGCGTGACGGCGCGGACGTGCATCAGCGGAGAAAGGGTAGAGGAGGGCACTCCCATGACGCCCCGATGCGTCTCGCGCACAAACGGCTGTGGCGAGGCGCTACCGTCCTGCACACGTCCGCTGCCTTCCGGATTGACAGCACGTTGCGCAGGGCTGTAGGGGCTGCCACCTGGAGAATTCGCATTGTTATTGCTATCGTAGTTCGTGGTGGTACAGCTGGTTTCACCGTAGGGGTGCAGGGGCCGCATGTGCAGCGGCGCGGAGGGCAGCACGCGTGACGCCGGAGGTGCATCACCCCTCGCAATCGTAGCCGTTGTGGCTGTCGCGTCTCCGCCTGCGCTAGACGGCGGCGGTTGTGCGGTGTCGATGCGCGTCGCCCGCGAGGGGGATTCATGCGCATGACTGTAAAGCAGATCCGCCACCTGCGCAGGACGCAGCAGCTCCTCTAGAGGGGCGGTGCGGGTGGTGCTTCGCTCTGCGTGCACGGCCACCGGCGGGCCGTCAACAAAGGTGGCCTTGAAGTCGTCCTCACACGTCCGATACATCTTCTGCGCCTGTTGCTGACGTGTTAGGCCGTGCGGCGACGCTCGTGGCGGCGGTGACGGTTGTGGCGGCGGCGCAGAGTTGCCGACATCTCCGAAGGCATCGGCGTTGCCACTTTGAGTGGACACTTGTGCAGCAGCACCAGCAGCAGCATTGCCGCTTTGTTTCTGTGCTGCCTCCGCGCTGATTTCTTCTCGGGAGTGGCGGTAGACGTCCTTCACGGCGGCGAGGCGCTCCCGCTGCGCTTGCCGGGCCGCCTCTGCCTGCATCCGCTCGTGGTGCTGACGACGCAGCGCGGAAGCCGCCCGCTGCGCCGCTTTTTGCTGCCCGTCCGTCAGCGTCTTCTCCCGCTGCGCCAGCGCCGACGCACACTCGAGCGCGTAGGCATGGGTGGCGTGCCTCACCGGATCGGCCTTCTCCTCGCTGTCTGTGTCCTCGACGCCCACCGCGAGGTTTCTCACTTCGCCTGCGTTCCTCTCCACGCGTTCACCCCGAGGTGGATCGTCCGGGGCGTGCACAGTGACTCGTGCGTGTGGTGCCACGTCCGAAATGCGCCACCGCCGCTGCTCCGGAGAGCTCGATCGGGGAGACGAAGCCGCAGCGTCGTTAGGATGACGCAGCTCAGCCGGGTAAGCCACTGGAATGCCAGCCGTGCAGTTCTCTGTCGCAACGGGTGCCGCGCGGAGACTGCGCATCACCTCCGCCAGCGGCAGCGCAGACGCCGGCGCGGCCGCCACACGAGCAGCGCGTTTCCTCTCCACATCTCGCACCGCTGCCCGTCGACGCTGCGCAACGATGTGCGGGGCGTGTCGCTCGTGCGCCTCCGCCCGGGTGTAGACGACGGCCAGACGGTGGCGTGCAACCTCCAACTCGTGTTCCGCATGCCACGCCGCGGCCTCCTCGCACGCCTCTCGCTGCCCATCTGCATGTAACCGCGCAGCCGCCTCGTGGCCGTCGCTCTGCTGGGCGATGCCGCGCTGCACCAACGCGTCGATGGCGTCGACATCGCGGGCCTGCGCCTGCATCCACCGTTGGCGGGCATCTTCGCGAACGGATGCGGCTTGCCGCCGCTTCTGATCCATGTAGAATCGAGTCTGCTCGACGGAGAGCTGCGCGGCGGCCTGGCGTGCGGCACGCAGCCGCTCCGTACGCTGCGCCGCCTCTCGCCGCTGCCGTTGCACAAGCACGGTGACCATCCCTACCTGCGTGATGGAGAGAGGAGGTATCTCTGTTGAGTCGCTCGTGGACGACGGTGCACCTGAGAGAAAGAGAGAAAAGTGGTGGGAAGAGAAGGTGAAAGTGGGGTGAAGAGGGCATGCGTCACGTGTGCGACGGCGGCTGCGGGCGGCGTGCTCCACAGAGCCGTGTGGCCATTCTTCTTTTCCATTTCAGCTGAGCGCTGCGAGCTGCGCCTCTCGAGCAGGCGTGCCTTCCGGGGAGTGACAGAGAGGCCTTTCAGCGGAGCCGGCGAAAAGAGAAAACCATTTTCATTGCAAGCCACGCCATTATTGCAAGGACGAGTACCATATTACTTTTTCTTCTTCTAACGCAATAGCCACGGGAAAAAACAGCGGTGCGAGACGACCACCACCACCAGCAGAAGACGAGAGGACCCGACGCGTGAAGCCCCGTAGAATCTAAAAATAATAATAGCAAGAGAGCTCCTCCGCTGCGGCCTTGCTGGGGAGGGTGCGCTCATTCCCACGCCCATTTCAAAACGCCGCCCCGACAGCCCCGCCATCATCAAGCAGGGGAGAGAAAGAAGGGAAAGGAGAAGACGTCAGGCAAAGATACGCCGTTAACCGTCAAAGGAGAACGGTAGCGTGAGGTCGGCGAGAAAGATGGAGTCATCATACGGCACAGAGGAAGGTGAACGGGTGCCAACACGCGTCGACGACGACAACACGCCCGCAGCGGATCGCAGGCCGGGCGGCGACGGCGACGGCGAAGACACCGAAAGGGCCGTTTTTGGTGGCGGCACGCTGAAGGACGCGCACGGCGCCGCACTCGTCGGTGCCGTCGGTGAAGCGGGAGCGGCGGAGCAGAGATGTACCAGCGAAGATTGCAGCTGTTGGGCAGATTGACTCAGCTGCGTGACGAACTGCTCTACTTGTGCTTCCGCCGCCGTCAGCACTTCTTGCCGCTGCCGCTCGTTGCGGGCCGCAACCGCGCTTTCTAATAAATGTTGTTTCTCCTGCAGCGCTGCCTCAAGTTTGTGGGCGTAGGAGGTGGCCTGTTGATGAAGCCTCGTTGACTGCGCTAGTCGTACCGTCAGCGCCTCTACCTGACGACTGTGTGTCTCCACGTACTTCTGATGTTCCTCCTCTACCGCGTGCACCGCGGCGCGGTTGGCTTGCAGTTCACCCAGTTGGGTATTGACTTGTGCCTCGTAACGCAGCCGTGCGTCGCTGAGTGCCGCACACTCACCACGCAGCATCGCCACTTCTTGCTCACGCTCGTACACGCGTGTCTGCGCCGCGTCCAGGACTTCCTCCACCTCGTGTATTGTCAGCTGCGCCTCCGACCACTGCTGGTGCAGTCGTGCGATTTCTTTGCTTTGCTGCCCCGCTACCAGGACGAGAAAGCTGATCAGCCTCGCGTCTGCTTGGACGACTTCGTCAACGGTGCTCTGCAGGTGCTGCAGCTGGCGGCGCCACCGCTCCGCCAAGTCCTGTCCCGCGCCTGTTGACGTGGACGTCGGTGCTGCTTTCAGGCTATCCATTTCACGGTTTGGTGTACTGGAGCCGAGAGCCTGGCAGAGGTCGTGAGTGTGGCGTCGCACAACGTCGAAGCTCGCGGTCGCTTGCTGCGCGGTACTCAGCAGCTGCTCCTGCCAATAAAAGCTACGTGCAGACGGTGCCGGCAACGCACTTAGCGCGAGAGACTTGGGGACGTCGGGCGGCGCTTCACACGCGACACATGGAGGACAAGAAGATCGTGCGGCTACATCGTGTGAAGACTCGCCGTCGGCCTGCACCTCTCCCGTCTCTGCTCGCTGTCGCTGCGCGCTCTCCTCACCCGGTGCGTGTGCGTGCGCTGCTTCACGTCGCCGTGCTGCCTGCACCATCTCCTCTAAGGTGTGCACGTCCTGCGTCATGCGCTGCAGCTGCTCTCGCAGACGGCGCTCCCGCTCGTCGGAGTGCGCCTGCACCTCGGATAGCATCGCGTGGGCTGCCTGAGCCTCCTCGTGTGCCTGCGCGAGTTGCGCACGGAGCCCTTTGTTTTGAGCTTCTGCGTCATCGAGAATTTTTTGCTGCTGCTCGACGCGCTGCTGTAGCGCGGCGTTGACGTCACCTGCCTTCGCTAAAGCCTGCCTCGTGCTCAGCAGCTCATCCGCATGCAGCCGGCTTTGAATTCGAGGCATGCGCTTCTATGAATGTCCAAGGCGGACCCTGCGCTGCTTGGATCAGATCCTCAATTTCTAAGCAGAGGGAGATTTAAAGGTGTGCAGGCGTGCGTGTTGAGGCTGCGCGCCTTGAGTTGTCAATCTAGGAGCACGGTACGTAGGCGCTTTTTTTTTACTGGATCCGGGTACCTTCGCCGATATAGCGCGCGGTCTGCGACGAGAGCCGTAAACGCCGCTGCTTCGCTCTTGCCGATGAGCGTTCTCCCTGCGCGTTCACTTGCGCAGAAGACGACTGCGCTACGAAATTCAATGAAAAAAGGAAAACAGAAACGAAGAAGCGAGAAAACGGGAGCGGAGAAGGTGAAAAGCGACTCGCTGCGGTGCACAAACAGCGGTATGGTACAGCAATAGAAATGCTTCGTTTGTCATTCAAAAGCACCCGACATGGTATTCGGTATATGTTTGCTGCATGAGCAGCATCGAGTGCTGAATCATGTCCTTCGCAACAGCAAAAAAAAAAACCAGCTTCTCTTCCTGTACGGCCCTTATTTTGGTTGTTATTCCCTGCAGCAACGCGCGTTATACATCGCGTTTGAGGGCAACTGTACATAAAGTAAACGGTGACAAAAACCGTCTAGCCAAAAAAAAGAAAGAAAGGACGCGGCAATCCAAGATTACATCCGGTTGAAACAACCCCTAACAGGCGGCCCGACGTCGAATTCAATACGTTTGCATCGACGTCTGTCGCGAAGAAGTGGAACACGCAAGCGCACCGCCTACTCGCCCGTGGTCTTCTTTCCTTTCTTCGCTTTCTTCGCCTTCTTCTTTGGCTGCGGGTTGTCCTTCTCCCGCTGGGCCGCCTGGTCCGCCAGCATCTGCAGATGCTCGTTCATCCTGACGACCAGGTCAGACGACTCATCGCCCGTCGCTGCGCCCGTCGCGGCTAGCGGGTTCGGACCCAGCTCCACGTGAAGGCCGTCCGTCTCCCCCACGGCGATGGTCAGCGTGCGGCGATGCTCGGCGGACTCGATGCAGCCCGACAGGTTGAGGGACTTGAGGGTGGCGGACTCGTGCACGAGCCGCACCACCGCCTCCACCGCCTTCACCCCCAGCCGATTGTTCTCGCAGTTGAGGATGCTCAGATGCGTGTTGCGCAGCACCGCCGTCACGATGGCTGTGCAGCCGACATCGCTAATTTGGTTGTCCGACACATCCAGCCGCTCCAACGCCGGGAGGTCAGCCGCGATGATGGCGGCCACGCTCGCCGCCCCTTCATCGCCGAGCCAGTTGTCGCTCAGATTCAGCGCCCGCAGCGGGCACGCGGCGAGAACCGCGAAGTCGGTGAGGTGCTGCTGCAGCGCCTGCACTCCTTTAAAGCCAATCGTGTTGCCGGCGAGACTCACGTCCTGCACCACGGATGTGTGCGCGAGGAGCTTACCGACGGCGTTGGCGCCGCTGTAGCTGATCTCATTCGCGTACAGATTTAACGTGAGCTGGCTGCGCCCCCCGTAGCGCAGCAGAGCATCGCAGAGGTGCGCCGTGCCCTCGTCGCCGAGGGCGTTTGCGGAGAGCTGATAGACGCAGAGGGGGTTGCGCTGGTACGCGCGCGCGAGACACTTCGTGCCGTTCGGGCCGATCTTGTTCCACGAGAGGTCCACGCGGGTCAGGTCGCGGTGGCACGCGGCGGCGTTGCTCAGCGCCAGCAGCGTGTCATCAGAGAACTCGTTGCCCATCAAGATGAGCGTAAACAAGGTGCGGTTCCACTGACCCGGCTGCCCCGTCGGGCTCACATTGGGGATGAAGGCGCTGGCGATCGCAATGCCGCCGACGTCAGTCATTTTGTTGTGCGAGAGGTTTAGGTGCTGCAGGTGCGTGTTGACGCGCAGCAGGTTTGCGACGGACATCGCCCCTGCATCGCCCAGCTCGTTGTGGCTCAAATCTAGAGAAACAACGTAGGTGTTTTTGAAGATGGCGGAGGTCACGACGAGGCCGCCGCGTGGGCCGAGGGCACGGCCGGCGACATCGAGCCGCGTCTCCTGCATGAGCGCCCTCCATTTCTTTCGCGAGTAGAAGTTGGTCGTCGTCTCGCCCTTCGAGCCTGGAAACGGCACCTTGTCCTTCTTGCGTCCCCCTGCCGCCATCGCGATGAAGACGCGCGAGGGTGCGGCGTGTGTGTGTGGACGATTGGGAAGGGGGGGAGGGGGGCGATCGGCGAGGAGATCGGCGAGGGAGGGGGAATGAAGCGAAACAACGGAGGAAAGCGGAGCAGGGCGGCTGTCGATTGGAGGTAGTCGCAGCACACAAATGCGGGTTGCCCCCAGAGAAGTCGGACTGCTCCGATGAAAAAGAAAAGAAGAAAAAGAGGAGAGGAAGAGAAGCTGGCGGTGATGATCGCTATGAGACAATACATACGGGCCCAAACCATGGAGACACGACGGGGCACGCCGAACACCAAAAACCGGTGCCGGCGGAAGACAGCAACGCATGAAGAAATAAAACACCTGTGGGTTTGGTACTCCTTTTTTGGCTTGGAGCGCGGTCCACGTTGCTTCCCATGCATTACCGAAATGCACGCTGGCCTCGCAGAACACCGCGCGACACGGCAAGCCGTACGCCTTGACCGCCTCGATATGTCCAGTCAGATCCCAAACAGTCTTAATGAGCCCACCCTCCGCCGTCCACGTTCACACCGTCAGTGGCCGCAGATGGAATTCCCGTAAACGAGCATGTTGCTGTTGCTTAAGCGCGACAGAGAGACCTTCACGAAACAGCGATGCGGCTGGAGTAAAAATCAGACAGGAGAGACAAGAAAGGAGGGGGGATGTCCGTGTGGCCGTACGGCGCACTCGCTTGGTCGTGAGTTCCAGGCGCCTTAAAGAAAAGAAGAGAAAAAGGAGAAATCACCGGAGAGCGCCACACAAAGACATCAACACCGCAACGGGCGGCGAATACGCGTACACCCTTTCCACCTGCGCAGCACCGCAAAAAGCGAAGCGAGATCATCAACTTTACCCCCGCCGAAACCACCAACAAGAAAAAACAACAACGAGAAGACAGAAAACAGAGCACCTTGCAAAGCTGCTTACCTTAACGTTACATTTTAAGTTATCTATCGGCCTTCTTTGCTTGATTGCGTGGCCGCAGCGCGTTAGAATTTATGCCTTAGCGAGAGGACCAGACAAGAGAAGAAGAGGCGGTTATCTTAAGCGCCTCACAGCACAGTCACACCGGTCAGCGCACCACGCTGCGTTACACGGAGGTTCGAGAGGGCCGTGATGTGGCTGCGCTGCGCCACACCACCCCGCACGGCCCCTCGTTAATCGGAAAGGTCCTTCAACGCACGACTTTAAAAAAAAAAAAAATAAGAATCCAGTGAATCCAACAAACGACAGCTAGCGGAGAAAGAAAAGAGAAAGAGAGGAAAGGGAGAGAGAGAGCAGCGAAGCAGCGTAGTAATGCCTCGATGGTACGACAGCAGCCAGCGCGAGAAGTGCACCACGACGTACGCGAAGAGCACACGCGTTTGTAGAAGTATAACTATTTGTGTCGAACACGAAGTGCGCCCCCCTCGTCACCACAAGTCACCTTTCTCTCCCTCCCTCCTCTCTCTCTTTCTCATACATCCGCTAGTAGCGACGTTGGAAGCCACCGCGACCGCCACCACGACCACCGCCGTAACCGCCGCCGCCTCCACCACGACTGAAGGAGCCGCCACGGCCACCGCCGTAACCGCCGCCACCTCCGCCACGGCCGAAGGAGCCGCCACGACCGCCACCTCCGAAGGAACCGCCACGACCACCACGGCCGCTGTTCAGCTCACGTGCGATGATCGGTGGCAGCGTTTCGATGCGCTGGAAGGTGATGCCGCGCATCGGGGTGCTCATGACGCGATCGGCAAACTGTTCTAGCACGTCAAAGACACAGCCTGGATCATCCTGCAGCAGTGTAATGTCACGGCACCGCATGAAGGTGTCGTCGCCGAGGTTGTTGCGAAGGATGCTGCAGAACACCGGGATGGGCAGCGGACGGTCCGAGTTCATCTGCAGCGTCACGTAGCCCTGTGTACCGGTGATGAGTCCACGCGAGGTGATGTTCTCGGTGTACCCGCTCATCACGGCCAGCGCAGACGCGAGGATTTCGACCGGGTCGGCGTCCTTCAGCAACTCGGCGGCCTGGTCCATGAAGAGGTCCGTCGCACGGCGCTCCACACGCGCCAGGTCCTCCGCTGCATCGCGCGCCACGGCCTTGAGAATCTCCTCTCGTGTCGGGGCCGGCAGCACCTCAAACTTCATCTTCGCGTGACGCTCAATGCGCTCCACGACGTACTCCTCGCGCGGCTGGTACAGCAGCACGCAGACGCCCTTGCGACCCGCACGGCCGGTACGACCGGCGCGGTGGATGAAGGAGTCGATGTCCTGCGGCGGCGCGCACTGAATGACGAGGTCGACCATGGGCAGGTCAAGACCACGCGCCGCCACGTCCGTCGCGATCAGCACGCTAAACTTGTTGTCGCGGAAGCTCTTCATGGTGCTCTCGCGCTGCTCCTGCTGCATGTCGCCGTGCAGCGACTGCGAGTCCAACTTGGTGTTGTTGATGGACAGGTCGTGGCAGTCCTTCTTGGTGTTCGTGAAAACGAGGGTGCGGCCGTGGGCTCCGCTGTACACCTTGATGAGGTCCGCCAGCATGGAGGAGATTTCGTTGAAGTTGCACTTACGGCGGTAGAAGCGGATTGTACTAGCGGTGCGCACCGCCTCCTTGCCGACCATGTCGATGAACTGCTTGTTCTTGCCGATGAGGGAACTGGAGTGGACCCACTCGGGCACCGTGGCCGAGAAGAGCAGCGTCTGGTGCACCGGCTTCTCCGCGGCGACCGAGCCGTTCTGCTCCGCCACCTGAGACAGCAGCAGCTCAATGTCGTCTTTGAAGCCGATGTCGAGCATGTGATCTGCCTCGTCCAGGCAGGCCATCACGACGCGGTCGAAGTGCAAGGTGCCCTTCTCGAGGAAGTCCTTCGCCCGGCCCGGCGTAGCGACGATGATGTCGACGCCGCTGCGCAGGACGTGCTCCTGATTGGCGTAGGCGACGCCACCATAGAGCGCCGCGACGATGAGGCCGCAGCTGATGCCGTGCAGCACATCCTGCACCTGAATGGCCAACTCGCGCGTCGGGCAGAAGATGACGGCGGCGGGGCCGCGGCCGCGGGTGAGGTGGCCCTCCAGCTTCAGCAGACGCTCCACGATGGGGATACCGAACGCGAGGGTCTTGCCGCTGCCGGTGCGTGCCTGCACGAGGACGTCTGTCTGCTTCATGATCGCATCGAAGGTGAGCGCCTGCACTGGGAAGAGCGCCTCGATACCGCGTGCCTGCAGGGCCTTGATGACCTGGGGGTTCATGTCAAACTCCGAGAAGGGACGTGCCGTAGCGGCGCAGCCGTTGTTCGGCACCTCTTCCTCCTTCGCCGCCGCCACCGCACCGTCGGCGGCCGGCTTTTCCTCGGTCCGCGTCCGCTTCGCGACGGCGGTGTGTTTCTCGTCGTGGTGCGCCGTCGCTGCCGCCTTCGCAACCTTCACCGGCGCATCGTCGTCATCGCTGCTGTCCGCAGTCTTCGTGTCACGGGCCGGCTTGGCCTCCTTCGACTCCTCGCGAGTGCGACGCGGCATAATGGAAGGAGAAAAGTGTGAATCTAGAAGGAAATGCTTGTGCGTGTGTGTGCGTACTGGAGCACTGTATGAAGCAACGCACGTGAATATTTTTGAAAGCGAAAAGAAAATATATTGTTACTACAACGCCTCTTATATCACGTTGTTATTTCTTTCTTTTCACGGGTGTTGCCGATAGGCGATGCGCGTTGAGGAGCGAGCGGGCGTGCGGGTGCAAACACCAAAGCGGAGAGAGCGAGAGGAGAGGAGAAGAGAGGAGATGCGACACCGGAAGTTGGGAGGAGGCTCGGAGGAGAAAACAAAAACAAAGAAGAGCGTTTTATTTCTTCTATGTCATCGAGCAAAGACGACACCAGCGTAGAGCGGCGCAGTGCTGCACATTACCATTGTCTTCAAGGCACACAGGGGATAGCGAAGCACCCGCTGCCTGGCACGTGCGTAACGACGCCAATGGCATCTTGCAGCTCATTTGCTGCTTTCCATGATAACCTAACTCCTTGATATTTTTTTGCAGCGCACGCGCACTCAGGCGTTTGTCGCCTTCAACCTTGCTCAAGAGGGGCACCCATCATGCGTTCAGAGAGGCGCTTGATAAAGTTAGACGTCGCATAGTGACGGCAACACGCGTGCGCATCAACCCACAAGTGATGTTGAAACAAAGAAGAAAGTGAGAAGAAACTGGAGGAACTCGCGGAGCCAGCAAACGTTGAATACGAGAGATATCGAAAAGGAAAAAAAAACGGGTAGCAAAGGGAATAAGAAAAGCGCCGAACACCGGAAGAAACCTGAGAAGAAGAAGGGTGGCTGCCAACCCAATACAGCAGTGCAGCAACAACACAGAAAGCGACAGAAAACAAAAGAAACGAGAGGAGAAAGTGAATGGAACAGCCAACGTACGTCCCAGCCTTGGAGGCGTACGTCTTTGCGTGCCATCAAAAAAAAAAGGGGGAGAAGAAGAAGGGAAAGGCGAGAGCGCATCATCTCTAATACAAAACATTGGCGCCGATTCAATCACAGGAGAAGAACAAAAAGCCCATAATCAAGCGCTTCAGATCGCAGTGTATTACATAATAAATCATAATAAGAAACGGCATGATAATGAACAAAAAAAAAACAGAAAGAAAGATGAGGTCAGGCGAAGTCAAAGTAGCTCGATTTGTATGGCTGCGGCGCTGCCATGGGCGGCGGCGCCAGGTTTTGGCCAAACGGCACATTCATACAGCGACTATTCGGTGTCCGTCCCCCACCGCTGCCCGTCATGCCCCCAACGGACGCCCCATTACTGCTACTACCACCACCTCCATTATTATTACTATTCGCGCTCGTCGTCACTCCACCACTATTGAAGTACATTGCCGACTCGGGAGCGCGCATCGCTTCAAAGGCATGCGTCATCGCTCCTCGCTCGCAGATCGACGCGTCCAGCGGACTGCAGGGCACCGGGGCCACCTGCGTCTGCGCCTCCTGCGAAAATGCCATTCCACCCAACTTAAACCAGCGGTGCTGCAGCGCCTCCGCCGCTCGCGGTCGCGCCGCCGGATCAAAGCTCAGCAGCGCCCGGTTCATCTCGATCGCATCCGCGCTGATGCCGGCCCACCGCGGGCCGTCAAAGGAGAGCGCCGTCCGCATTTCCAGCACTAAATTGGCCTTGTTCGCGAAGTTCTTGAAGGGTAGCGCACCGCTCAGCATGACGTACATGATGACGCCCGCCGCGTACACGTCCAGGCGAGAGAGCAGCTCCTTCGTCGTCGCTAGCTGGGCGCTTTGGGTGATGGACTGCACCGTCTCCGGCGCTGCGTACTTGAGCGTTCCGCAGGGCGTGGCGAGCATCGGGCTGTCGCACTCAAAGGAGTCGAGCGACATGTTGCGCGCCGGCAGCACGCGCGGTGGCTGCGAGTGCTGCATCTGAAAGCGCGAGGCCAGGTCGCGTGGGATGCGCTGGCGCCTGCGTTCGCAGCTGCGGGTCAGCCCAAAGTCAACCAGCACCACGCGGGTCGGCGACTGCTGGGTGTTCACCATGATGTTCTCCGGCTTCACGTCGCGGTGCACAATGTGGAGGGTGTCGTGCAAGTACGCGAGGACGCTCAGCAGCTGCTGCATCACCTCCATCACCATCCCCTCCGTAAACTTCCGCTGCTTCAACGCCTGGAAGAGCTCCACGCCCTCGACGTACTCGGTGACAATGACGACGTGGTGGGGCGTCTGCACGCACTCGATAAAGCGCACGCAATTGGGGTGGTGCGCCTGACGGAGCACGTGCACCTCGTTCACCACATCGCGCACGAGCTTGTCACTTGTCAAGTTGCGCTTACCGATGAGCTTCAGAGCCACCAGTTGGTTCTCCCGCACCACATCACGTGTGAGGAGGCTGACGCCTTTGAAGACAGAGGCGAAGGTGCCCTCGCCTAAGAAGTCGTAGATGTCATCAGTCATGTACAGCTCCGACACATCGTTGATGGCCGGGAAAGGTAAAACAGTCATTACAGCGGCTACCAAATGAGAAAGGGAAAAAAGAAGAGGTGAGACGCGAAGGCACGGCGTGGGTCTGCGGTGCAACGACGTCGTGCCGTTGTGAATCCGACGAGTGGTTATCTCTCCTTCTCTTTCTAGGTGTGCGTGTGTGATCTACGCAAACGAAGCAGACGTGGAAGTTTGTGCTGCAACGTGCTGCTTGAAAATTAAAAAAGAAAATACGCAGCAAAAGACGTTTTCTTTTCCGTCATGCACACAAAGCGCAGAGCACCGTTGGTGTCGGAACGACGCAGGCGATGCCGGTGCAGAACCTTTTCTCCGTAGCAACAACACGGCCGCTGAGTCAGCGCGAGAGGAGGCCGTGACGCGGGAAAGAAAGAAAGATAAATGACAGGAGCGCCCGTCTCTGAACCTTTGAATCAACAACTTCTATTCGTATAGGACACCAAAAAAGCGCAAATGAAAGCAAAACAAACAAAAACGCACGTAAGCGCACGTGCTTGATTTTTCTTTCTAAAAATAACGTCTACACCGCGCACGTGAAAAGGAAAGAGAAAAGAGAACAGAGAACAGAGAAAAGAAAAGAAAAGGGGTTCAACGATGTTCGCCCAACGGCGTCGGTCTTCTGCAGCTTATATGAAAGCCTGAAACGGTGTTGTTTGCACAGCAAAGGCGGAGTCCTCTTCGGTTATTACTCAAGGCGTTGAAGACTGAGCCAGGAAAAAAAATATTATCGATGTGCGTTCTTTTGTAACAAGAGAAAAGTGCAAAAAAAAAATAAGAATAATAATAATAGCCAAAGCAACACAACAGCAGTAATAGCGCCGTCGACAACTACGGCGGCAGCGTGTGTATCGGATGCGGGTGTCGCCAATTCGATGTTTCCTTCTTTCTCTCTCTCTCTCTACCAGTGGGCGAGTACAGAAGAGAGTATCACGAGTGCAGGAAAGCCAAAGCATGAATTATACGAAAGGGAAAAGAGAAGAGGAGAGGGAGGGAAAGCGCATCATTGGTTATAAAATGAGACAGAGGAGCGTTGCTTGAATGAGAAGCAAGATAACCAGCAGGCGAAGGTAGACGATGACTTGCATTGCAAACAAGCTGCGGCAGGGCCAATGACGCCTGCAAAGCCAACTAGGGAAGCGGCGCGCTGCCCCTCGTCGCTTTGCGTGAGAGAAGGGGGCTATCGTATTCGTCATCGCGGTATTTTTATACTTTTTTTTGTTCTTGGGAGACTCGCCGTTTCTTATCGGTGTTGTGTTCAACTCGCTTCTGCATGAAGTTAAGCAGCGGCGTGCTCACACACGCACAGGGCGGAACAGCTAAACCATAAAATGTGAGGAAGAACAAAATAGTCAACGAAAAAAGCAGTAACTCCGCGTCAATACCATCGTCTGAAAGGTGAAGGACGAGTGTCCCTCCGTCCTCGTCACGACGCTGCTCCCTCGGTGGCGAGGTCACGGTAGTGCTTTCGGGCGTAGTCGTAAGCAGACAACAGCTGACACGCCTCTGCGGTGGTGGGCCCGCTCTTGGCGGCGGCGAGAGCCACCACCGCACTCTCCCGCTGCTGCGGAAACTCCCGCCGTCGGCGGTCGCCTTTGCCCTCCAGCGTCACCACCGCATCGCACGGGAGCCACCGGCGAAAGATATCCTGTGGGTTTTTGCGGGTGTAGGGCACGATGAGCCTCGCCTCCTCCAGGTGCTCCATCATAAAGGCGGCGTACGGCTCGCAGTCCGTGAAGAGAACAACGCCGCGCGGGTCCGTCGAGGCCTCCCGCACACGCAAGGCGCGGTGTACCGCGCAGTAGAAGTCAAAGTGAACAAGGCGTCGGTGGCTGCCCTGTCTGGACCAGAAAGGCACCGGCATCGGCACCAGCGCCACGTCCACCGTCTCCGGCTGCAGCACCGCCAAGCACGCAAACATCGACTCGCAGCGCAGGAAGTACACGCGGTGCCCGAATTCCGGCGTCAGCGCCGCCGCTGCCTCCGTGAGGTCCCTCAGCGAGGAGTCGACAACGAGGTAGGCGTGCGCTGTGTCCGTGCGCAGCTGCCGGCGCAGGTAGTGCACACTTCGGCAGCCGAAGACCGCCACCCGGCGCTCCCCCTCACGGAGCCATGGCGCAACAACGCACCGCTGCACACCCGCGACGGCACCACTTTCGAGAAGCTGCGCACGCAGCGGCTGACGGGCCGCACCGCCACTCACAGACGGCAGCACGGCTAACTTGTAGTGGTCGAAGAAGAGGGCCGCCGTCGTGTCGTAGGTGTTGGTGACGGTGATGGTGCGTTTGGTGTTGCGCGCAACGCCCTCGTCGTGTCGCTGCAGGAGGCTGCGCAGGGAAGCCTCTTGCTTCGCTGCATCGCCAGCGGCGACCATCTCCAGGCCTGCGACCGCCGCCGCCGTGAGCGTTCGACGTGTCCACCGCAGCATGAAGGGAGAGGCGGGAAGCGAGCGAGACAACGAGCAACAAAGCGCCGACGCGTGCTGCGAGCTGCACGATCAGCAGCGACAAAAGTGTAGTTGGAGTAGCCTGGGTTGCAACTGCTTGTGCCGTCAGCGCCACACAGAACAAACCGAGTCGGCTGTCCTCGCTTGCAGTCTTCCTTGTTTTACTATTGTTTTTTATCCGCAGAATCAGCAAGAAGTACAGCGCTAAGTGGAACGCTGGCCACCACTGTGCGGGCGTGGGGTCGTCAACGTATACGGAGAATAAGAAAAATAGAGATGCGTCGCGAGAGAAGGGTAGCAGAGAAGACTCAAAATGGGCAGAGGCTGCAGAGCGAGATTGCGGCTGGTGACAGCAGGCTTTCCCCTCTACGAAATAGCGGCCGTTGAAAGACACGTACGCAAGTGGCGAAGCGGAGCTGCGAGGGAGAGCAAGAATAAAAAGAAGAAGTTGCAAAGCCGGTGAAGTCTCTCTCCTCACGGACACAACGAACTCACATTATTGTTGTTTCTTTACTTCGGTGATACAGTGGGCTGCATGGCGAGGCAGTCCATAGCTTAGCAGCACGTTCTGTGGACAAGTAATCCCCGCAAAAGAGTGCTGACGTACTGATGCACCGGCCCTAGAGGGAGAAGACGGCAGCCGTTACTCCCTCCGCCCAGCAGTCGCGCATTCTGCTGCAGCGAACCCCTCTCTCGCTTCAAGCCGAGAGGAGGAAGTTGTGATCCTCAAGAGCACTGGAAGGGATCGGTGACAGGGATGAGACACCCACGTGCCCACTGCTGTGCCGCCGGCAAACTCAGCGATGTGACCTGCCGTAGCTGCTTCTGCTGGAGCTGCGACCCCCGATGGAAGCGGGCGCGGTAGTACCGGCTGGCGTACTGCGAATCGTGCTGGAGCCCCTTCGCCCTGTCACACGCCCCAGGCAGGTGCTTCAGCAGGAGACTCACCTCATCAACGCGGCTCAGCTCCGATTTCGCCGGCAAGATGTTCTGCACTACTGAATTGAAGGTTGGAATCGACGGCACGGCGATGGGTTGATGATCGAAAGGGGTGGCCAGCAGAAACTGCAGACAGAGAAGTGGGCAGCGACGCATCTTTTCTTTCAATATGCGGCTGGCGGCTGCCAGAGTACTCAGCAATGCTGCCACCGCTCCAGACGACGAGTCCTTCTTGGTGTTGTGGCACTGGAGGCGAAGGCCAGAAGCGCGTGCGTGCGTGCGTATGTTGTAAAGAGAACAAAAGAAGCAGAGATGAAAGCCCAGAAGAGGAATAGATGAGTCCGCATCGAGAGAACGGTGTTGAGAGGGCTTTCCCCACCCTGCGCCACAGCAGAGCCGCCGTCGCTGTGCCCGCTCTTCGACCGGCAGAAACGCTGAAGAAGCAAAGATGTATTTTTGGTTTTTACCCCACGCACACCAACGTTTTTCTTTTACGAGGCGCGGTTTTCTCGCCTCGAGAAGCGCACTCAAGGAGGAGGTTGGTCGGCCTGAGGCTCGGTCGACGCACGGGTCACACACTTGTCGATATCGTCTTCCATGTCACTCCTTCGAACACTAGTAAGGTTGGCGCTCTATTCTAGCTACTGCAGCCTGTTGGCTCTCGTCAACATGCTTCAACGTTTTAAATCTTTTGGGGGTTTTCACTCGTACGCTTAGAAGCTGCTACAGAGAATGCAGCTGTAGACATCATCATCATAACAACAACAATAAGAGGAATAGTAGAAGAGCCTCTTAACGCAACCGTCCCAGCGCAGAAACAGTTGGCTAAATAGTTGAAGTCGAATGAGAGAGGGGAAGAGAGTTGCGAGTGGACAACGCAGCTGCATGTTTTCTTTCTTTGCCATGAAAGGTCCTGCAGCACAACACACACATGCGCACATACGCCAATAGTCAATGCATACAAACACGCATTAAACCTCACACAAAGCGATGAAAAATATAACAAAAGAAGTTCTCTAGAAAGCGACAAAGAATGAAAAGATATGAAAACATCGCAACCGGCGTTGTAAGCAAACATCGATGAAGCCAAGAAAAGGGAAACGGGAGTAAAAACAGAGAAGAGGAGCAGCCACGAAGAATCGCCGGCCCAGTTTGCACGCTTGCTCTCCGAAGCGGGTGGTGCGTGCACAAGACGAACCGTTTCAAGACGCGTCGTACATCCTAGAAAGAACACATAGACTTCCTTTAGCATTTTAGGCGCTCGTGATCCGACTCCCCAGTACTCGTTTCCTTTGACTCGCCTCGCATCCCTGGCGTGCAAACAGGCCCACAGAACACCGTACACCAAAAACACGCAAACAAACAAAGCATTGAATAATAATAATAATAGTAATAAGCAAGGAAACGCAACTAAAATGAACATCAACGGTCCGGACAGTGAAACCAACTTCGACGAAGAATGAATTTTTTTTTTTTGCAGAGAGGAGAGTGGAGGTGCAGCAACACAGAGGAGAAAAAAAGGGGGCGCTGACCGCCACACGAATGGTTCCATTGTAGTTCCCCTACATCTGTTTCTCAATTGACGAGGAACTGCGACAGCGCCGGCGCAAGTACACAAGGTGTGTAAGCAGTCGTGCCGTCTCGATAAGCTTGCCCGTCCCATCTACTTCCACCGAAGCTCCTTCTTGACAGTGTATGTATGTGTGTGTGTGTGTGCGCGCGTGCACTCTCCGTCTGCGGTCGGCAGTCATTCTCCTTTCGCTTGAGATCAGAAGAGCGCTGGTGTTTACCGCCACCAAAAAAGAGAAAAAAACAAGAATGAAAAGCGCGATTAGAGTGCAACCACGCTTTCTTTCTACATGAGCGCCGTTCGATCAGAATATAATACTGCACAATACAGGAAAACCAAAGAGAGGAAAAAGAGGGAAAAAAGGCCTCAACGCCAGTTAAAGCAAGTACAAGAAGAGACAAATACGCAGCCGCGGCGCACGGCCGTTGCAGCAATCCCGCGAGTCAACACGAGTAGTCGAACCGTGCCCTCCGTCACCGTCACTTGAGAGCTGCCCTTCTCTTATATGGATTGACAGGCGTAAGTGATTTCACCGTCGTTCCCACGGGGATCCTAGTTCTCTGGATCGCAGGTCGCATTGGGCTCACCACCAGCAGCGCTCGCCTGTCCACGGATTCCCCCCCCCCCTCTTCCCTCGTAAGCGCTTGTACTATTGTGGCTTCTTCATGCGCACCACAAAGCCCGGCGCGTTCTTCGCCAGCGTCCGCGGCGAGACAGGTCCCTTCGTATCTCGCTGCACCTCCTGTCGCTGCGGCTTCTTGATCGCCATGCGCATCTTTCCGTTCGCTACGAAGATGCAGCCCGCACCGTTCTGGTGGCCGGCGTAGTCGGAGGTGGAGAAGATGGTCACCACACGCGCGTTGTCGGACAGCCGCAGGCCATCCGCCTTTTCCTGATGGGCGCGGAAGATGTACTGGTAGTTGTAGCGCTCACAGAACATGTCCACGGCGCGCGAGCCGAACGTCTTAATGTCCGGTCCACGCGGGTTCGGGCCGAAGCCGTAGCGGTCCAGCTGCTGGTCCGGCGGCGCGGGGTCCGACCAGAGAAGGTCGTTCACCATCATGCGCTGCGCCACGTTGGTCGGGTCGGCGCACTGCACGACGGGGATGCGCGGGAAGTTCGGGTCGGACAAAATCTCCAGGCGCTTGTCCTCGCCCCCCGAGTACTGCGGCAGGCCGCCGTGGACGCAGAAGATCTTCTTGTCGATGTCGGCGATCACCGGGAGGTACTGGAAGACTTCGTTCACCGCCACCCACACGTCCATCCCGCGGTCGCGGCCGAACTTGTCGAGGCATTGGTACTTGAAGGAGCTGTAGCCGTACACGTCCATGTCGCCGTTTACCTCCGGCGACTCGTGGTTGCCGCGCAGCAGCGTCACCTTGGTTGGGTTGATCACCTTCAGGGCGAAGAGGTACATGACGCACTCCAGTGAGAAGGCGCCGCGGTCAACGTAGTCGCCGAGAAAGAGGAGGTTCTGCATCGTGTACTTGAGCATCACGTCATCGAAGGCGATGACCTTCTCCAGGAAGTATCCCATATCGGCGAAGTTGCCGTGGATGTCGCCAAAGACGGTGACCGGCGTTTTCAGGTGCACAAAGAGCGGCTCCTTCGCCACCACCTCGCGGCACATACTACAGACCGAGATGACCAGCTTGCAGAAGTCCGGCAAGTTGTCGTAGGTGAAGCTGTTGTGCGAGGGGTTGGCGGCTCGGCGGATCATGTCGATGAGGCGGGTAGGGTCCACCGGCGGCTGCGTGGGCGAGTTCATGTAGTTGCGCATGTCCTGCAGTTGCATCATCGTGCTGTGGCTCGCCACCGACTCGTCGCCGACGCGGGAGCGGGTGTTCGGCGCGACGCCGGCCCGCGGCGTATCGGGCTCCGCCACGCCCTTCGGCCCGATGGCGTTCTGGAACAAGTCCACAATCGTCACCGTCTGCGGCAGGCTGACGTAGTCGTCCTCGCACAGCAGCACGTTTTGCGAGAAGACGTACTTCTCCGGCACCGGTGGACCCGCCGAGCTCGTCTGCTCCTCGCGCCGGCGATCCTCGCGGCGGCGGCTGTGGAAGGCCGGCTCGGCTAGGATGACGGCCTCCATCATGTGCATGCGCTCCTCCATGCGGTAGATCGTCGAGGTGATCTCCGACAGCAACTCCGGCGACACGCGCGTCAGCCACGTGTTGCACTCCGTCGCCGACAGTTTGGCATTGCTGATGCAGTCGTAGTTCGTGTTGTTGCGGCCGGCGCGAATTTCGTCCATCGTGAGGAGGTCCAGCTCAACGGACCAGTCCGGCTTGAGCGTCTTGATGCGGCCAACCTTGTACAGCGCACGGCCGTCGACGGAGTCCTCGACGCGGCAGCGCACGAAAAAGCCCGACACCATCGGAAACAGCTTTGCGCGAATCTTGTGGTGCCACTCCGAGAGCTTCTCACGGTTGATGGTGACGGATTGGATGAGCTCCAGCGAGATGGTGGACTCGGTGCGCATGGAGACGGCGGGGTGGTGGGTGCCGGGTGCCTCTATCGGCGCCTGCTGCGGTGACGGGGGGACGTGCGGCGGATCCATTGCGTATGGTGACTCAACGACAAAGCAAACAAACAATTTTTTTTTTTTAAGAGAGAGAAAGTCACCTTCAAATGGTCACAGTAGACTTCGTCCGCGTAGCGTACCACGGCTGAAGACGCAACACACAGCACAGCTCTGATGGCTATCGGAGGCAGCAGAGATACAACAGCACGACAAATAAATAGCTGTAAAAGCGGGGGAAAGACGACAAAGAAGAATAAAGGCGATCTACTAGGACTATATACTTTGCTCTTCGCCTTTCTGTTCGTGTACAATACGAAGAAAAAAGAGAAACTGCAGCTGTTGATCTGGATGATGAGAAGGAAAACAAACGCGATTTATCACGTGCGTCTCTTCTTGTGTGTGTGTGTGCCGGTTTTTTCGGTTTGTATGTTTCGTTAATGGACGGACAATCGTGTTGCCTTGGCTCCTTCCCCTTCTTCTTCTCTCCCACGCAGTCGCGCAAAGGTACGGTGCAAGAGAACGAAAGAGATACGTGAAAACCCCAAATATAATGAAATCTAACCTACTTCGGTGTGTGTGTGTGGAGATGAAAATGGCGTGGTTTCCAGTGAAGAAAGGAAGCAAAAAAAAAAAAGAGGAAGGAGAAGGAGAAGGAGTAAGATGTGAGGAGAGAAGGCTAGAAAAGAGAACAGGTCGGTGATGCATGGCGCCGCCGTGGAGACAAAACGGTGCTTTCTGGGAGGTTCGACGTCGGCGAGACTTCGTGCGTTGCCGCTCAGGCCGGAAGAGAAACAGATAACACACCGGTGCGGCCAGTGATGCGCGCGTTGACCGGGCAGCGTCGTGCTTTCGTACTTCTTTTCCAGTTCTCCTCTCTTGCTGTACCACTCCCATGTTTTTTGGTACGCAACGTCGCTGACGTAATACAACGTCCTAAAAAAAAAAAGCACAATCTGAAAAAGCGTGTTTTCACGCTGGTTCGATGAAACAGCGTTTCGCTGCTGCACGTGGTCGCTGCTGCGGTATACGCAGCGAAGCGCCGCGGAAAACAAAGAAAAAGACGACGGTCAGCAAAAAACGAACATGTACGTTTCAATGGGCACACAACGATCTCAGTGTGTGCAAAGGAGTCTCCGGAAGTACGTGTACACAAAGCCTCGCATGTCAACGAGTCTGTTCACACCCAGATCGTAGCGGTAGCCATGATGCACGCCGATTTGGTGACCGCCTGTCTCGCCCACTGCGTTCACTCGTCTTTCCGAGGGTGATGTATGCACATAAATTAATACTTCGCGGACTCCAATGTAGCCGGAAGGATCCCTCTCGACTGGAGAAACGACCGGGCAAGGTCGGGGGCCACGGCGGACACGGCCCGAAAAATGTGCATCTTCTCCGGCATCGACCGCGCCGTCAGCTCCTCGATCGGCAGCCACTCCACCTTCCGAAACTCCTGTTGCGCGTGCAGCTCTGGCGGTGGGATGAGCACCACCTTTTCAATATTCGCTGACGGCGTATAGAACAGCAAGACGCGTTGCTTCTGTCCAATGTAGCCGTAGCTGCGAAGGTTGGCGTGCGCGGAGAGCGAGTACGCAAAGTTCATCGCATCTCCGTTGGGCGGCGGGATCTCCTGCACGAAGGTGAGGTCCTCCGGACGCAGCCCGATCTCTTCTTCGATCTCACGAAAAGCGGCCAACGTCACGTCGTGGTCGCGAGCCTCGATGCCACCCTGCACACACTGATAGTGCTCGCTCTTGATGCGTTGGCAGCTCAGGAACTCCACCTTCTCATTAAAGATGAAGCAGCACACGTTAGGGCGGTACATGAGGAATCCAAGATGAACGGCGTTGGAAAACAAAAGCACTAAACCAGAGAAATGGAGAGAAGACCTGCGTGAGCTCCGCACACGACGAGGGGAAAACGCGACGGCAACAAAAAGCAGCGGAGGAGGGGGGGAGGCGTAGTCGACGATTACAGCTGTGAAAGCAGTTTGTTGACGAAGTGGGTGTAGCGCGCTCCTGTCTTCCTTGATCGATAGCAGAAGAAGCTGCAATACGGTTCGCCTCTGTGAAAAGCCGCACAGACGGCGTGTGAAGAAAACAATCGGGTAGTTTAGTGGTTAGGCGGATGAACAAATAGTAAGGGGAGAGAGAGAAGGAATACAACTTTTGGGAAGGTGCGAGAAGCCCGACAGAGAAACGGAGGTTGAACACGTGGCACAACAGAGTCGCTCCGATCGTTTCCAGCAAAGCCTTTTGTGTATACAGAAGAAGGCGGTGCTTTTGTGTTCGGCTTGAGAAACGCTGCTCGACACTGAGTTGGACAGCGAGGTGACAAGAGGTAAGCTGCAACTTGCAGGCTGCTCTCTGCCTCGTGCCAGTGTGCGTCGCTTGTGGAACCTTCAAATATATCAAAAAGGAGCTGTTACATTCCGTCTGTCCAATGCACGCGCTTTGCTTTGGACCCCTTCTCTTTGTTCACGGCGCTTTACGTGTTATTGCCACAGGCGTGTGGGGCGCAGACTACTTAATCGAACAATTATCCAACAAGGTATTAAACGCTGCCCCGCCGCTTCGCCACCAACGCAGCAGCCCACACCAAGCACGGCGGCTGAACACCACGGGGGTCGTTCTGGAAAGAGAACAGAAACGAGCTCCCTTAGCGATGCTGCGGCTGCCGCAGAGCTGCGAGGAACGCCTCCTTCGACGCCACCTGCTTCTTCTCCATCACCTTGTCAGATGTCATCCGCGATTCCTCCGCCTCTAGCGCGGCGCTGGCCTTCCGCGACTGCGCCAACGAGTTAAAGAGCTGCACGACGCCCATCGTGGCCACCGAGCGCAGCCGGTACTCGTAGTCGTGTCGGTTTTGGTGGGGGAGGAGTCGCTCGTGGCTCTGATTCTTGACGGCCTGGTGCAGAATCTTAAGTCCGATGGCTTCTGCGGTGGTCCGCTGCACGGCAACGTCCTTCTCTGGAACGATGCGCTCCCGCTTGCCTTTGCCCACCACCTCTAGCGCCGCCTTGCCCACCTGCACCTTGCCCGATGGAGACCCTCCCGCCGCGCTGGCCTTCGCTGCTTTGCTGCCAATCGTTGGGTGTGCGCCGGCCGCGTTGCCGCTTGTGAGTTCGGCAATTCGGCTCTGCAGCGCTTCGGAGTCTAACTTGCGGCTGCGCTTCACTAACGAGACGACCTTTTTACTCTTGGCGCGCTTTGATGACTTGTTCTTCTTTGGCTTGGAGAGCTTGCCCACCTCCCCACGAAACTTGCCAGCCATTTTGTGCAACTTCTTTTCAAGTGCGGGAAGCAGCAGAGATAAGGGAAAATATGCCACGTTTGTTGTTGTGCTTCTAAACGACGTTCGAAGCGAAAATGAAGGAACACGAAGCAAAAGAAGTTAGCAGAGGCGAGAGAATGGAAACCAAGTTACAGCACCGCGGTTACAAGGCTTTGCCCCTTTTTTGTCCGAAACAGCGGTAGATCTCGTCCATGGGAGAAACCCACTGTCAAAGAGCTGTGACACATGTAGACGAGAACAACACACTCTTTCACCTCCGCACCGTTACATATCGCACTCAGAAGGTGAAGTTTGCCTCTTCCACCTCCCTCACTTCGCTAGCGAAAGTGATGGAACATCCTCGGTAACGCTTCAGCGCTGCTCGTTAACCATTTCCGATGGTGCGCTGTTTAGAATTTTAGTTTCTCTCAGCGCAGCGAGCTGCCTGCCGCAGAATTAGACTTTTTTTTACATGCAAACGACGTAACACCACCAAACAAGAAAAAAAAGAACATAAATGGAAGAGTCTATACATCCGTTGCAGGCGACGCCTTCGACGTATCACCGCGCATCACCGCATTTGCTTGGGTGTTGGAAAACAATGTGCTTCCCCAAAACGTGCAGCCGCTGCTTTCCTCCGTTTTCAAAAATGTGCTGCTGTAAATTCGGCTTCGGCGCCCCACAGCAACAGCGGCGGCAGCAGCGGCAGTAGAAAACATCTCACATCCCCTCTCTCAGGTGCGGCTCAGGTCACCGTCTTCCACAGCAGAATCGACACCTGTCCCCACGTGATGTAGATGTAGCCCTTCATCTCGTGTGACACGAAGGAGCCGAAGTTCCGCCCCACCACGCAGTGCCAGACGCCCTTGTACTTCTTCACAAACTCGTGCTTAATGTGCGTCGCCACTGCGTTCTCCAGCGACTCCGAATCGAATGCCTCGATTACCGTCGTCTGCGCGTCTTCGATCATGGCCTTTGGCATGTCAGCCATGTAGTGCATGTCGGAGTATTTCTGCGGCATGGTGGCGACAGCTACAAAAGAGAACAACAAAAAGGTAAAAAAAAAAACCGTCGCTGTGCAATTTCGGGAAGCCTACGGTGATCGAGCCGCGGGGAGTTGGTCAAATATATCCGCACGAAGTGTTCTGATCCGTGTTTTTCTTTTAGTACGTCCACGAGAAGCGACACGAGTGGGAAATCGCAAGCGTTGAAGGACGATTCCACGTATGTGTGCGTGCTACTGAATACGTCACGTTGAAAAGAGCGGTGCTGCCTTCGCCAAAAGCCCTCCAGCACACGTCACTTCACGCCAGAAACGCAGGGGGGAAAGGTGCGTCCACGAAGGCGTGGAAAATGAGGAGAGAAGAGAAGACAAAGAAGAGCGTTAGAGGCGCCTGAGTTACATAGGTGGCGTGCAAAACCACAAGAGGTTGGTTTTTCTACTTTCTTTCACTTGAAGCCCACGAGTTGTCGATGCACTTGCTGCGGTTTGCGGCTTTGACCGCCTCTGCTGCGCCGTTGAGGGGTAGTTTGCCTGCACCTCCCTTCTCTGAGAGCGTCGAGCGCGAGTCACAGAAGCTGGCGTGAGCGCATTGCGCACATCTCCACGACCGCGCCATCCGGCAACCCCATTGAAGTGTTGAAAAGGCGCTAGAGTCGACGCAAAACACTCATCTGCCGTTTTTCTTTCCTTCTGTTGTCGTGTCGTGCAGAGACGTAAAGTAGCAAAAAAAAAAACCGAGCCGATAAAATGAGAAAATCAAACACACACATGTTTGTTGATGTGTCGGAGAAAGTCAGGCGAGGTGGCATCCCATCCCTCCCTCCGAGTGTACGAGGCGTACGGAGCCGTTGGAGGTGCGACATCCGCCTTTACAGCGCTACGCTGTCTGTGAAGGGTTGGCACACCGCCCACAAAAAAGAAGAAGAAACCCCAAATCAGTCTGAGACACTCCCTAAACCTCACTTCGTAGCGTCCCCAATCATGCCCTTGGCAGCACCAAACAAGTTGACGGGGCTATTGCCGTCAGTGATCAAGTAGCCTTTGAGGCCGAGACTGCCGAGCAGCTTCGCCTGCGTCTCCGGGCCGGCACGGGCGATGGCCACCAACGTTTCTCGGCCGATGGCGTCCACCATGCGCTTCACCTTCTCCGCCTCCGCCTCCGCAGCAGCCTGCGCCTTCACCACGTCCATCTCATTTTGCCGCTTCGTGTACTCCAGCTCCAGCGCCTGCCGCTGCTGCAGCTTCTGCAGCTCCGCTTCGGCCGAAATGCGATACGCCTTCGCCCGCATCTGCGCCTGTTGCAGCTCCGACTTGACCTCGATCAGCAGCGCCTCGGCGCGCGCCTTCGCCTCCGCCACGGACTGCCCGCTCGCCTGCAGCGCCTCACTCCCCGCCTGCAGCTCCAGCCACTGCGTCTTCGCATTCTCCACTTCTATCTTGTCCACAAGCTTCTGCCGTTCCAGCTGGCCCTTTGCCTCCTGATCCTTCAACTCGTTGCCGTGTCGCGCAGCAGCCTCCTGCGATTTTGTCGTTATCTCAATCGCGAGCTGCACCGACTTCTGCAGGCTGTCGCGCGTCTTCTCATCCGTCGGCTCCGACGACTGCACGTCGATGTTCGTCACAACGAAGTCGTTCGCGTTAAAGCGCAGCTCCTTTTTTATCTCGCCCGCCTCGTCGACGCCGAAGACGGCGGTGCGGATTATTTTGGCGGAGTTGCGGTGGAAGGAGTCGAAGTCCTCGGCGGCGACGGCACCGCGCACGCGGCTCGCGATCGTCTTGCAGCAGTCCCCGATAAAGTCAGGCACGGAGAACGTCTTCTGCGCCGGTTCAGTGCGGTTGATGTCAAAGTACCAGTTGTACGAGAGCCGCAGGCGCAGGCGGGCGTGGTCGGAGGTCTCGACCACGATCGTGTCGCTCGAGAACCGAGGACCCAGAAAGAGCTGCAGCGACTGCAGCGAGTTCGGCACCTTGGGTGCGCCGCCGCTCAGGGAGAGCACGGTGAACTCCTCGTGCGGGGCCAGCATCACCAGGTTGGGACCCAGAACAATCCGCGGCTGCTTCTTGTGGTAGTCGTAGATCTGCACCGCGGCGTTGTGCTGCACGTTGAAGCGGATAATGCGGTGCTTCTCGCGGTGGCTCACAAAGTTGGGGTTGCGCTCCGTCGTCCGGATGCGGCCGTTGGGTGAATCCAGCAACTCCTCCACGGCGATGGGCAGCTGTTTCTCCCACAGCACCTCGTGCACGTCGGGCAGGTAGGGCTCGCCAATCACGGCGCGCACCCCGCCCGTCTTCGTGTTCATCACGTAAATCCCCTCGTTCTTATCCAGCGCAATCACACGGCGGTGCTCGAGCAGCTTCACCTCGTTCGCGGGGGTGTACTCGCACGGTCCACACAGCATCCACCGACGGCCGGGCTTCCGCACCACGTCGCCGTCGTGATACTCGCACACCGCCTCCAGCAGCAGCGCTTCCTCCTTACCCACCACGAGTACCGGCTCCACCCCCGCCGGCATCGACTCGCCGGGCTGCAGAAAGAAGGTGCACTCGCCACGGCGCACGACGGTCTCGCCGAAGCGGTTGCGGCCCGTGTCGGCATCGACCGGGTGGTGGACGATGGCGTACTCCTTCGAGTTGAGCGAGACGGCCTTCACGTCGGCCATCTTCGTCTCGTAGGCGTCGACGATGTGCACCGGGGCGTCCGCAGAGGTCACCAGCCACTCTTCTCCCGCGTTGCGTGTCTTGTCGTAGGCGTCTGTGAAGGTCCGCGTGGCTCTCAGATGCAGGGCACGCGTCGCGTTCAGCAGGACACCCTGCACCAGAGAGACGACCGTTTCTTCCACGGAGGGCAGGTAGGCGCCCAGCTTGCGCTCCAGCCAACGCTCGCCGGCGACGCGGCGCTGCCCGCGGCGGTCCGTAAAGTTCACCTTCGCCTCCAGCAGCAGCGCCGTGTTCGGCCGCACCACCGTCGCCTTCACCTCCGCCACCACCATCACCTCCACCCGTGGCCGGTACGTCTGCGGCCCCTCCACCATCCATTCCTTCCCTGCAACGACGGTGGCGCCGCCGTCCGTGAAGTCGCGCACACAACGGACGTAGTACCCGGTGTTGCTCGGGATAAGTTGCAGCTTGCGCACCGCCTGCCCCTCTGCCTCCTCTATGACCTCGCCCGGGTGCAGCGGGAACGGCTCGCCCTCGAAGCGAATCTCTGCGTCGCCGAGGCGCAGCTGCACCTGCCCGGACGCGTCGAGGGCGGCATCCCCCGCAGCGGTGCGCACGCAGGGGTTCTGAACCACGCAGTAGTGCCGCGGTGGGACGGATATGCAGGGGCGCGGCTCGAAGAGGCACGTTTCGTGCTCCTTTCGGGTGTAAATGTCCGGTCCCACCAAGGTGCGTGTCACGTTGGTGTTGTTGTCCAGGATGTGGACGTAGTGGTTCCGCTTAATGCGGATCACGGACTCCGCCATGATAAGACAAAAGGCAAAACAAAGAACTTCCGTTTCCACCTGTAATGTTGGGCGGGTATCGACTCAGTAGTCAGCGTGGGAGTGAAGCGCGGCGTGGGTGGAACTCCTTCGCGCTGTGCTGTCCGCAGGAACGTCAAAAATGAAGAAAAAGGGAAAGGAAGGCGATGTCATAAAAGTGCCGCAAGGACCATCGGTAACGAAATCCACGCACGAAGCAACAATAATAAAAATAAACTGTTCCGCAAGCATACGATTCCATTTCGGCGGAGCCTCCATCAAAAAAGGAAAAAAAAAGAAATCACGCCCGCCGCTCATTATGCTAAATTCCTCTCTAACGTAGAAAACAGCGCAAAGGCTTAGTTGTGAGCCTTCTCATACCGGCTCTCCGTCTTCATGTTTTGCTAGCATGCGACGCACACGCCCACCGTTACTCAACATCGGCTCCTCTCTCTCTCTCTCTCGCGTGTTCGAAATACGCGTTTACCGTGCCAAATAATCCTCTAACAGCGAAGTGCACAGACTGCAAGGTATGGTTACGCTTTCTCTTCTGTCAACATTGGCATAACAAATACTGGACAACGGAGATGTCTTGGGCCATCATGGCCCAAGGATTGGATAAACACAAAAGAAGTCGAGTATATCTAGTTGCATCTATCAGAAGCACTGTAGGTGCCGCGTAGTTCTATTGGGCGCAAAAAAAAAAAAGCGTCTAAAAGAAAAAGAAAGGAAGGCGGTTTAGCGCACGGCAATTGTGCCCTGCTCAAGGCAGAGAAAAAGATGACGGGTGAAACAAGTAGCTGCGCCGCGGAATTCAGAAACAAAAATAAACGCAGACGAACACCGGTAAAGATGCTCGTTTCGCACTAATCTTTTTTTCAACAGCAGCAGCAGCGGCAGCGGCACAGAGACGCATTTGAAAAGAGACTCGTCGCACTCTTCGACAAACACCTTCTTCTTTTATTTTGTGCCGAACTGCTGAAACGCTTTCCGCATGGCTTGCTCCTTTTCCTGGACGGACTGCTGCAGACGATCTACCTCCGCACGGTGTTTCTCACGGTGCTTCTGCAGCTGCTGCTCAAAGTGCTGCCGCACCGCCTCTGTCTCCGTGCGGAGGTCGTCCTCGCGGCCCAGAAGTACCTCCTGCTGCAGAAAATACTCTTTAATCCCTCGCGTCTGCGCCTCCAGCTCCTCCTGCGCGTGTGCAACGTCCTGCAGATCACCGTAGAGCTCTTCAGCACGAATGGCGACCTTCTCCATCACGCTGTACAGGTCGTTCATCTGCGACACCATCTCAGAGGGAGGGAGAACGTGGAAGTACGGCTGCGCCGCCCGCGCCCGCTCCACCAGTCCACCCATCTCGTTTTGAATGCTTTTACCTTCTTCCTGCAGCAGCGCCACCGCGTCCCGCATGCGCTCGCGCTGCGATTCCACGGCTGCCACCTCCGCCGCCAGCACCGACTCCTTCACCCCGGTGAGGGCGGACACTGTCGGTACAGCGGCCCTGTCCGGCGACTTGAAGCTCCGCCCCTCGAGCTCCATGGGCAGGATCTGCACCAGCTCAATGTTTTGTCGCTCCTGAATGCCGGACTGGCTGTTGAAGAAGGCGATAGGGGAGCTGCCGAGGCTCTTCGCCGCCAGCGCGCCCAGCTCGTTCTTGCGTCGCACACACAAATTCCACGCAGCTGCCGAGGCGATGATTTGGCCGCCTTGGGCAAGCGCGCAGATGTGCACGAGCTGCGACACCGCCGTGCCGTAGTAGTGATGGCGGTAGGTGCGGTGAAAGACGATGCCCGACGGCTCCACGTACGCCTCGCCAGCGTGCAGGGCCATCGAGACCCGCAGGCCACGGTACACCACGCGGCCGCCGGACGTGCGCTCCTCCTGCCCTTCGGGCATCTGCAGCAGCTCCGCCGGCCACGGTAGCCGCAGCAGCCACTCCTGGCTTTCGGTGCAAAAGCGGCAGGCCGCCGTGGCGTTTGCGAAGGCGAGAAGCATCGACACATCATCGCTGTAGCACTCGTAGCACCCGTACTCGCCCATCTTCAATCGAAGTGCGCTGTACAGCAGCTGCATCGACGACCGCATCATCTCCGTGTTGGCGGCCCACATCACACGGCCGGCGGGCACGCAGAGACACACAAAGACGACATCGCGCAGAGGGGGCGGCACCGCCGGCGGGCTGTCACGCAGGCAGCTCTCCAAGTTATCACTAAAGAAGCACAGCCGTGACACAACACTGGCGACGGTGGTGTCCATCTCGCTCTGCCTGTCCTCGAGCTCGTGCAGGGCGCGCAGCAGGCGCGTCTGACGCTCCGTCACGTGGTCGAGCAAGTCCACCGTGGGCAGGCGCTGCTGCGGCGACGGCGGCGTGCCGCTCACGACTGGAAAGTCCTTCATCTGTTTCAGTTGCATGACGCGGTAGGCGACGCGCTCCACCGCCACCTTCGCCTCGGGATCTTCGAGGATACAGCGCGGCACGTACAGGTCGGGCAGCTGCTGCAGCTGCGCGCTGACCGGCTCCACCGCGATGTCGGGCGAGGCAGCGACGAAGTTGTGGTAGAACGCGTCCAGGTGGGAGAGAAGAAAGCCGTTCCACAACTTCTGCTTCTCCACTAAGTCGTCCTTGTCTGCCAGGACCTTCGCCAGTTTCTCCACGCCTTTTCGTGCCTCTGCCAGGGCGGATTCTTTGTCCTTCCGCTCCTTCGCCAGCTGTGCCTCGTATTCCTTGCGCTGGTCCTCCACGCGCTGCTCCGACGACCGCAGACGCTCTTTGTAGTCCGCCTCCACCTTGAACACCGTGCTCTGCGACTGCGCCTCTTGCTCGCGATAGCGGTCCACGGTGGCGCCGTGGGTTTCGCGCACCGCCTTCAACTCCGAGGTGAGCTCCTCGACGCGGGCTTTGAAGCGCGACTCCACGTACTCCACCTCACGCACGCCGGCCGCCTTGACGTCTTCGATCTGCTTCTGGTACATCTTGGCCAGTTCGGCGCAGCGCTCCGTTGCGATTCGGGCCTCACTCTTCAAGCCGAGGGCTGCGTTCTCCCCCTGCGAGCGAAGCAGGCGAATTTGGCTCTCCGCGGCCTCTGCGGACTCTCGCTGCTGCTTCTCTAACTCATCCACGCGGTCGCGTAACGTATTCATCTCAACTTTCTTCTCCTCCAGCTGCTGCCTCGACTTCTCTGTTACGGCGTACTCCACGTAGCGCATGTCGCTCTTTGCGTTGCCCAGCTCCGTTCGCAGGTTTGAGCACAGCCGCACCAGCTCCTCGATCTCCTTCTCCTTCAACGCGATGGCCGCCGCCGTCCGCTGCTTGTCAGCAGATCGCCACGGACGCTCCAGATCAGGCCGACTAAACAACTCCTCCCCGCGCACGACACCGGTGCGTGTTTTGAGGTACGCCCCAGGCACGCGATCGCCACCGTAGACGCCCGTGACTTTGCCACTGGAAGCCGGCTCCATATCCAAACAGAAAGGGAAAAATGTCTTGAAAACAAAAGAAATGAAAGCTGCGGATGATGAGTGCCTAAGCACTGCGAAACACCGCAGTTATATGTATAAGTGACAATGTTTGTGTGTGGGTGTGTGTGTTCTGCCACGCTGCCGACGGTTCACGAGCCAACACAGAGGATCACCGTGCGCGGTGACTACTGGATGTGGCGACGATGGTGAGCGACCAAGGAGCAATAAAAGAAGCGGAGAAGGAATGTCGTAAAAACAACAAAAAGAATAAGAAGGTAGAGGAGCTATCCACACACACGCTAAAGAGTTCAATACATAAATGACACTTGCTTGCTCTTTATTTGACTGAGGTCCGTCAGAGGCCAGTGCTCGTGACCGTAGTTTCCCATTAGCGCTCCACTTTTGCTTTCACTCTCCCACGTGTGCCTTAAACAAAAAAAAAACACGTCAACACCCACCGTGGAAGTCACACTGAGGGAGCTCTACGTTTATTCGACGACTTTTCTCAACGAGTAAACACATACACTTTCACCGTTTCGAGCATCTACGGGCAGACGTCCAACGATGCAAAGCACACTTCAAGGGAATTGATGCTCGAAGTGACAACGGCTCCAGTGTAAAACAAAAACAAAGGGGGAGAAAAGGAAAGAAAGAAAACCCCAAGCATACATCGTGAGCAGCTTGATATGTACAAAACAGAACACCAGAGAGAGTAAAAAAGGAAAGGAATTGCATCGACGACAAAACAACAAGAAGGGAGTAGATCTTTGCTGTCCCGCGTGTGCGTCTGTCGTTCTTCCTCTCTTCTTTGCTCTTAACTAAATACAATAGTACATCGGTTCACAACATCGTTGAACAATGTGGCATTTCGTTAAGTTTAAGCGATTTGGTGCATCTCAAGCGTTTTTTGTAAACGGACAATCTCTTTCTCAAGCGCGCGCATGCTCTCGTTGCCGCCGAGCTGGGCCTGCTTCAGATCCAGCTGCAGAGCAGCGATTACGTCCGCTTGATCCGCAACACGCGAGCGCAACATCGCCTCAGTCTCCTCTCGCACCTTTTCTCTTTGCTGCATCTTCTCCTCCAGGATGCACAGCTCCTCCTTCAGCAGAAAAACGGCGTCGGAGCGAACGCTCTCACGGGCCACTTCCGCATCTTTGCGGTTGGGGATGAAATGAACATCGAGGATGCCGCGCAGCCGCGCAATCTCGTCGTCTTTGCTGGTGCGCAGCTGCTCGAACTCCTCCTTTTGCGACGCCAGCTGCGCATGCAGTCCCGATACTTTTCTCTTTAGCGCGTCCGTCTCCGCCAACACAGCCTCATCGTATGAGTGTTTCACCTGGTTGCGGTCCTTTTCCGCGGCGATGTGACTCTCTAGTCGCTGCGTTGCCTTCTGGTTCGAAGACTCGTAGTGCTGCCGATCCTTTTCGTGGTGGTCGCGCAGCCGCTGCACCTCTTCCCGTAGCTGCGCAGTGGTTGTGCGCCCGTTCGAGACCTGCGCGTTGAGAAACGTGACCTTGTCGAAATGCTCCCGTTCTTTTCGGAGAAGCAGCGACTTCACCTCCTCGTTTTCTTTCGTCGCCGCCTCCAGCTCCACCTGAGTCTGCTGCAATTCTGCTTGCAGTGCCTGTGCCTTCTTCTCCGCCTTCTCAGCAGCCTCGCGGTGCTCAGCATTCAGGGTGTCCAGTTCACGACGCAAGTACTCCGCGTCAAACCTCACCTGCTCCATCAGCTGCTTCAGTTCGTGCAGCTCCGCATCAGCTGACTGCTTCGCCTCCTGCGCCCCCCGTCGCACTTTGTCCAGTGCCTCGTGTGCAGCAGTACATGCCGACGCCAGACGGTCCGCGTCTTCCTTTGCACGACGAGTACTCTCCTGCTCTGCGACCATCTCCGTCTCGTGGCGGCGGGTGTCCGCCTCGAGCTGCGCATTCAACAACTCCAACAACGCGACATTTTTGCGACCGTCGGCGTCCCTTTCATCCAATGCCTCGCGAAGTGCTTTTCCGGTTGCCAGAGCCTTCTCGAGGTCCTTCTCCATCTCACGCCGTTGCAGATTGAAGCTGCGCTCTTGAAAATCGTTTTCCTCTGACATACGCTGCAGACGCTGCCGAAGCACCTCCGCTTGCGCTAGCGCCTCACATGCTTGCGCGCGAAGGCGTTGTCTGTCGTCATTGCTCGCACACCGCTCTGCTTCCAACGTCTCTCGTAGTTGTTCCAACTGCATCGCAGTCGACGTTCGCTCCTTCTGTACAAGCACTCTAAGCTCGTCCATCTCCACCTTGGAAAGGCTGTTCTCGCTGAGAAACACTTCTTGCGCGTTGCTCAGCTGTTTTATCTGGAGCTCGTATGCTGCTTGCTCCTCCTCCTTAGCCGCTGTGACACGCTTCAGGTGTTGTGTGAGCTCGCCCAGTCGGTTGTCCTTTTCGCGCAGCGCTCGCACCTGCTCATCACGGAGAAAGGTGATGCGCTCCTCCAGCTCATCGCGCTGGCGGCGCTCGTTTTCGTTGCGCAGAAAACGTTCCGCCTCGGCTTCCTGCGCGCGCAGCTGCGTCAGCCGCGCCGTCTCTGCGCTGCTCTTCCCTGCAGCCTCCTTCTTGCCCTTTCCCTTCTTTGCCGGCATTTACTGGACGCTGCAGTTCAACGCAAAGAGAAGCAGTGAAGCAGTCGGAGAAGTAGGGGAGAAAAGTGGGCTCTAAAAAAGCTGCAGTGGATCACAAAACGCCCCCGGCGGTAGGATGCTGGGACGGCATCAGAAGCCGATAATAACACAAAAGAACACGGCAGCCGTGATAGGAAAGAAAACGTATCAAGAGAAACAGAGAGAACGAAGAGCGGAGAGCGGAGAGCGAAAGGTACCGAGAAATGAAAAACACAGAAACAACGATGAAAAAGTTCTCGCCACACAGGAAGATGCCACAACTGTCCCAAAGGGCAGACAAATACAGAAACGCATTCTGTATGGTCTCCTTGCCTTGGACGTAAGTACAACACGCAGCCGCGCACGGCATCTTGAAACAAGCCGCTGGCAAGAATCCATGGGTCGTGGTCCCTTTTCTCTTTCCCGTTTTTTACAACAGCATCGAGCAAGAAGAGCAATATGAAAGAAATGAAACGTGTTGGACACATTATATATATATGCATATACGACGCGGTACGTACCATTATTTTTTCGTTTTCAGGCTCCCATATTATTCTTCCGTTTCGCTAGCTTTCATCATCGCGGTTCGGTTTTGACGTTGACGGCAAGTCGTTGTTGTTTTTCTTTAGGCAATCAACTAAACACGAGCGGCACATCGACTTTTCGCATTTTCCTCTCACTACCTTTCGAGCCGCAGTCAATTTTCAAGTTGGCATATCTTCCTTCGCTGAAGCCTTGCTCTCTCCCCACTTTGTGCAGGTGCGGGGCTTTTCGTGCGAGCCCCCACGGTTAGAAAAAGAAAACAATATCACTCAAGACAGAACACGACTTTTTGTGTCGATCCTGACGAAGAAAGCAAGTAAATGCATATATTTACGAGGCAGGCACACAGTAGATAACTTTAAAGAAAGAAAGCCAACACAAACAAACATATTTTTTTTTTTGAAACGCCAAACAACAGGATCGCATTCCTCAGCAAATCTAGAAGTGCCTACTTCGACAGAAATAAACACGCCGTTATGTAGCTTTCTAATTGAGTTGCTTTTTGGGCCCCTTCTCACATTTCAACGGCAAACAACAATAAAGAGCCCGTACGCACACGTTTAAAATAAGAAGCTAGTCATGCTGCTGATAACGTAGCTCGCACATTTATAAAACCCATTCCCATCCATTCTTCCTTCGCCCTATGATCAGCACATTTGGATCCCATCACACAGCTTATTGCGAATTCTTCAGATACTGCGAGAGCCAGCGGAAGCCGTCGCCGTAACCAACATTTTTCACCACACTGCACATGTACACCTCCAAGGGGCGCACGTTGGGGTCAGTCACCTTTGTTGCCTTGCCAGTCAGCGCACCGTCCAGGCCCATCTCTGCCACGAGCTGGCCCTCGGAGCAGGTGCATCCGGGCATATCAATTTTATTGCCGAGGATGAGAAAGGGAGTCTTGGCCAACTCCTCCGACTGCAGCAGCATGTCCAGCTCCTGCTTCGCCTCTGGGAAGCGCACGGGTGAGGCTGCGTCCACGATGAACACGACACCGTCAACTTTCGTGAAGTAATCCTTCCACAGACGACGTGCCTGCAGATGGCCACCCATGTCGATCGTCTTCAGCTTGATGCCTCCGAGGGTCAGGTCCTCGGCATTGGGATGGAAGGTGGGGCGGTGCACGTGGACTTGGTTGGTGGCCAACTTGCCGAGCAGCGTTGTCTTGCCGGCGTTGTCAAGTCCAAGAAACAAGAGCTTACCTGTCTTGTTGGACAAGCCCAAGTAGGACAGCCAGTCCCAGACCCAGCTAAACCAGCCCATGATGATGTATAGATCACAAGTTAGCTTGTGTAGTAATGTGAGTGTATATGATTGAACAGAAGTGTAGATTCTTTATGGCGATCAGAAATGTGAAGAACGGAAAAGAGCGAGTACAATAAAAGACACTATGATGCGCCAAGACGAGATGAATACCTTTTCCCGCAGTCGCAGCGGGAGAAAGGTACAAGGGCAAGTTTGAAACTTCAGCAATGCTTTTTCTCGGCACCGGAATTTGCTTTCTGCATCAAAAGAGAGCGAGGACGCGAACACACACAACGCGCACCTTAACGCAACCAGCAGGAGATGACACTCGGTCGAAGTAAGCATTCCCCCGCAAACAAAAAAAAGCAAAAAGACTAAGGTGGAAAAAAAACTCTTTTCGTTGTGTGAGCAAGTAGTGCGCATTGTTTCAGCAGGGCAAAACAGTGTTGCTGATGATGTTACTCAAACCTACTTCTTCTTCAACTTCGACCGTCCTTTTGGCTTTGGCCGATGAGGATTGCTCCACGGTCGATCGTTTTCCACATCCCACTGTCGCGTAAGAGAGAGGACTTTCTGCTCCACGTTCATCACACTCTTCATGTCGGAGTACAGCTTCATCACGGCTCCCTCGCAGCACGTGTGGAACATGTTCTTGTCCTTAATGTCGACAAATTTTGTCCGTTTGCAAATGGGGCAGCGCTTCAGCAAGACGTGGCTGGGCTTTAAGAGGCGAGAGGGGTCATCTGGGTTCAGCTGCTTGTATTTGTTTCGGTAAAAATGCGGGTTAACCATCTGTGGTCGCCCGTTTAGATGCAATCCTCCAGGCCTGTGCTTCCAGGGATTAAAGGTCGTCAAGCGGGCCTTTAGAAGACAATTGTTGTGTTTTAACATAGTGATGCATCCTCTGTGAGCAGAACTATTCTCTCTCTTTCACACTGATGCAAGCACAGATGCAAACCGACACGTTGGTGTTCCAGAGAGAAGCTATATTCAAAAAAATAAGGAGAGAAGAGAAAGAGAGAAGAGAGAAAGCAAAGTTGTGATTCAGCATACGATATTTACTTGACTTTACATTGCGCGTCTTTTTTTGTGCGCATCAGATAGGCGAAAAGGGTAAATGTTAGCACTCACCAAAGAGGTCAGAGAGCAGCAAACCTAACCTGTTTAAGGTTCATCAAAACAGCCGATAGAATGACGTCACGCAGCAAAAAAAAAAAATAGGATCTGACAAGTGGAAGTGACCTCGCCCCAGATGTGCAAATTCACACTTGGCGATAATAATAATAGTTCCCATTCTAAAATGCAGCTTCTATAGAACGGGGAAAACGGAATGTCGCCATTTAAGTAGCAATATACGTTGAACAAAAAGAAAAAACCAAGATGTATATGAAATGAGGTTTCTAACCAATCTTGAAAACATTAGCAATACAACAAAGAGATCTAGGAAATCTAAAAAAAATGCAGAAGCGGAACAGAGAAAAAAAAAACATGTGTGACGCAGGTAACTCAACGTCCGCATTTAGTTTCTTTTCTTTAAGGTTGAATGTGTGTGGATCCATTCTCTGGGTCCTCTGCGGTTGAAAGACTTACCTTGACGCCCCAGTTGCCTCATCACGCAGACGCTTCAGCTTTGGTGCATCCGAAACCGCAAAGTTAACGTCTTGTGCTTGCATTGGGGCAATGCTTGTTTTCGCTTCTTCAAGCCGGTGGATTGTGTCCGCATCGATCGAGGGAAGCCGTTTTCCGCTTTTACGGCTCTGCTCCACCATCTTTTTAAGGCGATCAAAGCACATCACCCAGTAGTTGGATTCACCGTTTGCCTTCTTAATTGCCTCTAAAGCACGCGCGGACTCAGCAACGCGCATTTCTTCGCTCTCGCCAAATCGTCTTTTCACCTCCTCTAATGCTGCCTTGTATTCGCATTTACGCGACACTTCGTAGTTGATGGCAGCACGCAGCTTGGCAGAGTTTTTTTCAGCCGCTGCGCTTTTCGCCTGCTCAGCTTCCAACATGATCTGTGACTCTCTTTTGAAACTCTCGTGCGCCTTTTGCTCATCCTCGAAGCGACGCAGCAGCGCGGAAAGTTGGGTAGTGGCCTGCTCCTTCTCTCTGTGTGACAGTGCTCTCTGTCCTTCGAGAAGGGTGATGCGACTCATGAGAGATTCTTGTTTTTCTGCCACAGCGTTGTCGCCCTTGCTCATGGCTACTTTGGCTTCCTTCACAAAGGCAGTGAGCTCACGACACGTAGACTCTGCTTGCCTCTTTGCCAACGAAAGTTGAGTTTTTTCTTCATGTGCACCCGCCAGAGTGGTCACGAAGAAATCCACTAAAGTCTCCACGCGTGAACTCCACAAACTGTGCAAATGATCCGCTTGCTCACTACAGAAATTCAAAGCGCACGATTGCAGGTCTGACGCTGCGGAAAGATCAGCGAGTGCACAGGAGTGGGTTTCAGCACGCAACGCGTCATTCTCACTTAGCGCCGCTTCTTTCATGATCAGCTGTTGGTTCAGAAGCTCCGCTTCTCTCGAAAGCGTGTCGATCCGTTGAGTCGCTTCGTTCAATTCGGCTTGCAAGCCCTCAATACAAGCCTTGTTGCCCGCGTTCATTGCTGCCAACTCTTCAACCTCGTGCGCTTTCCGTGCTGATTCTTGCTGCATTTCTGTGATCAGCCGTTCTTTCTGGAGTACTACTTCGTCTTGCGTAGAAATAGTGCGCGTCGCCTCTTCCATCTTCTGGGAGAGAGAAAAAAGTTGCTGCCTTTGCTCTGCCGCCTCCCTCTGAGAGTTCTGCCAAAAATCAAACAACGCTCTCGTCTGCGTTTGCGGGAATGCATACCATTCGCTGAGCCACGCGGAAAACAAGTGCGATTTTTCTGCCACGCAGTTGCAAAAATGGAGTTCTCGTTCCTTCGCATGAGCGTGAGACAGCATCTGCGACAACTCTTGCCGGACTTTTCCAGCGATCTCAGATTCTTCGAGAACTTTGGCATAGTACTTTGCGTTCTTTTCGCTCGTCGAATTCAGCTGTTCCGTTAAGTCGTTGATCACTCCCTGCCGAGCAGCAACCTCTTTCTCAAGATTGCGAACATCTTGCGTGAGAACTTCGACTTTCTCCTCCGACTGGTTCTGCAAAAGCACCATCTCTTCATCTTTTGATTCGATAATACTCTGCAGCTGACGCGCTTTCAAAGCTAGGTCATCCTTTTCTAAAGCGAACGTCTCGGTCACACTGGTAGCGGTTTTCAGAGCATCTTTTGCTCGCTGCAGCTCAGCTTCCAGAGACGAATTTTGGAACGACCACTCTCCGCCCTGGTTTTCGCTTTTCTTAAGCTCCGCGTTAAGTTGGCTGATGGTGAGTTCTTGCCGCCGTATCTCAACACTCTTCTCTTTCAAATCCTCCTGCTGCATACGGCACTTCTCCCTCATTTCGTCTAGCGCTTTCTGAAGACCTGCTTGACTCTGGGCGGAAAAATTGGCATCACGTTTCAATGATTCCACATGAAGATTCAGCCGAGCAATCTCTTTCCTTGCATCGCTGATGTCGCACTGCAGTTTCTCGTTCTCGCCCTTCTCTCCGAGGCTCACCATCTTCACCGCGTTGATGCGATCATTAAGCGAGCTGATTGTCTGCTCCATTCGCTCCACCGTTCGATGCTCGTTTTCGAGGGCGGCCTCGAGCGTCCGGATTTCGGTATCTTTCAAATCAATCGTTTCCCTCTGCTTGTCGCCAGCAAGATCGAGCTTATAGATCGTTTGCTCTAAATCGCAGATTTTGGTTTGCAGCTTTTCTGCCTGCGAGTGAAAGCTCCTCACTTCAGCTTCTAACGCATCGCGAGCTTCTGTCAGTTTTTTAGCTCGCTCACGCTCGACGTCGAGAAGCCGCGTGGTTTCCGCGTGCTCAGTTTTCAGCGCATGCAGTGATGCCTCCATTTCTTCAATCTTGCCACGAAACTGCATCGCTGCCTCATTTAGAGCTGCCTGTTCGGAGGTCCACTGCTTTTCCGCGTCAACCCATTGCGCAATCGACGCATTGGCATTATTGCGGACTTCCTCTGTTTCCGCACGAGCCTGCTCCGCTGCGGCTCGCTCGCTTGCGATGATAGCATCGCGGCTTTCGATGTCTTTCTGAAGTAAGTGTACGCGGTCGTCTAGCTTTGAAATCTTTTTTGCTTCCTCGCTGAGTACCAGTTTTTCCCGCCGAAGTCCTGCCTTGTCTTGCTCCAGTTGCGCGATTTGAGTGTGTAGTGCCTTGCACTCAACTTCTAGGTCTCTTGAGCGTGCCTTCTCTCGTTGAAGTTGAAAATCCAAGTGCTTGATGCTAGGCTTCTCCATCTCTTCCGCACAAGCTGTCGCAAAAAGGTAAGTATGTTTGTACAATAATGAAAACGATCAATTTTTTTTCCTCCAATAACTGAGTGCGCAACCTCGATTTTTCGACGACACAAAATTGGATAATACAGAGAGATCGATAGAGAGAGGGAGCGAGCGAGTGAGAGAAAAAGAGAATTAGAGAACATTTAAAAGATTTTGGCTGCTGATGCACCAAAAACATTTGTCGTTCACTGGCAGATGGATACCTCTGAGTTAAAGAGAGAGTCCGTTTACTTCTGAGCGTAATACACCTGGTGATCTCCCTCACCATGACACAACATAAAATTTGTCTTTCGTCTCTACGCACCGATCGTAAAACGCATTATGAGAGTCCCAAACAGAAATCTTCAGCAGTATCTCCGTTTTATTTCTCATTCTGTTACTTTCAAAGGTAATGTGAGTCAGTTCTGTTACTGTTGCAGGAAAAGAAGACAAATTCTTCTTTCCGAAAAAAGTGCTTTCCGAGATGTGTAATAATCACGGTCATTTCGCTGGTTTAGAAAATGCAAAAACAGAGTTGCTTCAAGTAACTATCCACAGGGGCTAGAAAAAAAGAGGGGAAAAAAGCGCCAAACGTATACGCAATGCCAACAAAGTGGACCAAAAGTTTCATTCAAGCTTATGTGCTTGAGGAAGGCATCCGTCTATAAAATTCAGACAATCAAACAAGAGCGAGATGGAGAGTTGACAGCCTTCACAAGCGAGAAGAAAGTAGCGCCACGCTAAACAGGGAAACAATTATGCAAGCCCTACGTCCAAGGTGCTACAGCATCCAAAGAAGGATTATACGCAAAGAAAAAGAAGGGATTGGTTGCGCTTTTGCCACAGTAAAATACTAAACAAAAAGCTAAAAGCAAACCACTAATACAAACCAACTTTTTCCAACTCGGCGTTGTACACGCGTCGTATTGCTCCAAAGCTGCACGCTAGCAGGCAACGCAACAGCACTACTTCTTATTCAGTGCTTCTTCCATGAGAAGTTCGAAAACGAACCACTACTTCCGTTATTTTGACGAAAGCCGGCTCAACTACACAACACGTATAGAGAGAGATGAAGACCAAACACCCCCTACGATCATCGCTTTTTCAAAAGAAGCAGGAAAAAACTGAATGGAGAAAGAAAGGCAGACAGCAAAAGCTTTTGTTTACAAGATTATATTATGTGTACACCCCAAACAGGTTTGAAAAAACAGGGAAGCTACCGAAAAGCATCAATCTCACTCCTTGAGTGCTTCTCCCCCCCCCCCTCCTGTCACCTTTTCTTTTCAGATTTGAACGTCTTTCTCTCTTGTCTTCGTTTGTTACCAGCTATACTCAGTAAAGCAGTGCTTTTTTTTTTTAATGACGGGATCTTGCTTTTCCACTTTCATACCAGGTTGCACGACGCTCAGCTCTCCAGAAATATACCAAAGAAACCTGAGTTCTTTGGATATGCAGAATTAGGCCCCTTTTATGCGAGTACGTACTGTGGACATTTTTTAATTTGTCATACCCACACGCTTTTTTGATCTTCACAGTCTGCTGCCGGATCGTTATTTTTCTCTTGCTGACCTAGTTTTAAACCAGTCAACGGTAACGAGCGTAGAACAGCGAATGCAAAATGGCTGGAAGCCTACTTTTCCTATGATGGATGTGAGTCTAGTTGCACGAGTTCCAAACCACTCGCTGTTAAAGCCGGTTTCCGCTTTTGTTGTTTTGAGTCCTTATCTGCGGATCTGTGCGAAGTCATTTATGCTGCAGTGATGTGTTTTCTTCACTAGGGTTACCCAAAGGGAAGCCAGGATGCGTTGTACGTCGTGACAGGTGTGAACAGCATGAGAGTAAAAGCAAAGAAACTGATCTGTGGAAAAACAGATTTGAACGACTGTTTCTAGTCGAGTGTCAGTGGCGCTCGGAACAGAGGGAGGTGCGTGGTTACTTGACTGCTACGGAAGGAGAAATGAAAACTTGTAGTCTCTGGCAGTGTTTCTGTCTCCACTGATAGTTGTCAACATATTTGACATTTTCCCGTGTATTTTCTTGGCGCAAGGCTTGCTTGAAGCAATGGCCAGGGTAACGAAGTTTGCTTTCCATCTGATGGTTTCGTTTTCCTTGGCACAAGCAAAGCCTCCGATACTCGGCAACAGTGGCGTCGACAACGGGACTGACTTCTCCTCGCATAAATTTGTTGGGATCCAGACCATTTTTGGGAGCTTACACAGTTCGCGGCAATGTTAGACCTCCGTAGAACTGCACGTTTGCGCAAAATGCGGTACACCTTAGGCGCAAAGCACTGCAAAACAGCAAATACTGTAATTTGACTGTGCTACTGCGACTTTTTGCTTGCTGAGGCAGGTGTAGCGAGAGCTGCGAACTGCACAGGAGTGCTGCAGGTCTCGTGATTGCCAGAGGTCGAAGGGATGCTGATAGAAAACACTAAGAACGGTCGAAAACTAGTCTGACTAAAGTGATCGGGTACACAATTGAGCTATTTCTTTGTTGCTGTCTCGCATGCAACGGTTTGCTATTATCGTTCTCCTCTTTAAAGTTTTGCTCTGTTATCATCCTCAGCAATTGTCTGTGGTCTTTTTTACTTTCAGTGCAAGCCAACATTCGCAGATCAGCCATTTCTGCTGCGGTGGTCGTCGTCTTGCTCTTCCTGCGCGTGCTGTTTGCCATGCACCACTATCGAAACAAACAAACAAAGGAACCAAGTACGCCGCTGTGACGTTGTTCGCTGCTCTCTTCAAAGTATAGTATCATCTTCACACAAAAATTTTTTTTCACCGACTACACCTGATTGAGTCCACTCGGCAGCTGTTTGACTTCTTTGTTGCATCAATACCTTCATGTTTTCCTTCTTTTTGTGTTTGGATGTACTTACATGCAATGAGTGGCTCACCCTAAGGTCTCTAATTGCAACGAAAAATGCTTTCAACCCTGTCGGCACTTTAGCGGACTGGAAAAAAAAAAACTATTCCTCGTTTTGTTTGCGAAAGAAACAGGACGTGGGGTACGATAAAAGCGGCTTCTATTTCTGTAGCACGATGCACGCTTTACATCTTGCCGTCCGCTCTCTCTTTTGAATTTATGCTGTCACCGTTATCGCGGCGGTACGTGCGTTCGATCTACGTCCCTTTCAATCTTAATGTTAATGCTTGATCGCGCTTTCTACGAGCCACTTTGTTCCCAAACCTCGCCTGGCTTCTTCACCGTCAATGGATTTTCATTACTCTGCTGCGTATAATCCGAAGGTAATCCTGTGCCTGAAGGATTCTCTTTTTCTGTTATTGTTTGCTTCTGTTTTGTTGCTCCTTTCACTTCTGTTTTACTTTGACCAAGACTGATAAGACACCTTGTGGAACCATGACAACTGACATGGAATTTCAGACGGTGGAGGTGCGTCTTCCACACGATCGAAATGTGCACGTCGTGTGCGAGTCGGAGGAGCACGCTTTCTTTGGACAGACGAAGCAGACATTCAATTTTGACCTGCCACCGAATGCGTCCGTGGACGTGGTGCGGGAACTGGTAGCCGACAAACTATCGGTTGCGCCTGCTTCTGTGCATCTTCAGCTGCTTGTGCGCGAGAGCAACGAGTACGAAACGGTGACGTGTGGCAACATCGCCGAGGCCATCTTCGCCTCGAATCCTGAGAGTAACACACTTTCCGTCGTGTACTCGACAGAGAGCCGGTACGGCTGCTTCTACTTGTGCTGCGCGGCGTTGTGTGCGGCATGCTGCGCGGCAGGCTATGCAGCCGGAAGCTCTGCTGAGAAGAAGAATCAGCGTCGGCGACCCCCACCCCGGCCCCGGCCCTCGCAAAATAAGCCTTCACAGCCATATGGAAATCAGGCAGACACTCAAGTCCAATATCCACAGGCGACGCCTGCAAATCAATACTACCAAAATTCGAACGCACAGCCACCGCAAACATATGCGTATGGGTCGCCTGTGCAATATACAGCTCCACCGCAACAAGGCACGTACCAGGCAGCGCCGCCGAACGGCTACGGTTCTCCGCCGCCGCCGCCCCAGAATCCTGGCGGAAAGCAAGCCCCAGTTCCGCTGTAAACGACGACTTCTTTAACATTCTTTCAATGATGCCGTTCTCTTCTTTGCATTGTATCGCTACGCAGGGTTTTTTTTTGAAGCTTATCTGCTGTGTGCCAGGCACTCCTTTGCTCGCTTGAAGCGGTGCTTTTTGCAATGCAACATCATCTTCTAACCTTTTTATTATTTCATATGTAGTACTTGTTGGTGAGTGCTTCGTAGACGTCCTTTCTTCTTAGCAACTAACATCGTCAATGGTCGTTATATTTAAAGCTGCGGAGAAGCAGCGTCCAGTGTAATTTCTTCTCTTCCCTAACATTTTCGCTTTCAACAGCTATTTTATTTACCAAAATATTTATATTTGTAGGATTTTTTCAAAAGTAATACCTGGTGTGCCGAGGGTACCTTTTATGTCTTCTGTTCTCTTTGTTGCCTCGCTCCGTCATGTTTTCGCTCTTTCTAGTGAGGGGATGTGACCTCCTTTATACTGAAACTAGCTCATCCCTGAGCCTCTTTTTCAATTCCGACATCCATTTTCTTTCTTCTTTCCTGAAAACTTGCGACATGAAAAATCGCCGGGAGATGAATCGAAAGCTTCATGTTGCACTACTATCCCTTTCTCTTCTCTCCCCTCTCGTCGACCTCTCTTCAGGAGAGGCTGTTTAGTGTTTTCACGCCGTCCCGCCCCTTGTCCAGCCCGACGAGGTGGACATGCGGACGATCTGAGTCCGCAAGAAACTCCCTGTCATATAGTTTCTTATTTATTAAAACGGTGCATGAACGACGTTGACCCTTAGTGAAAAAAGAAAGCAATACACGGGATGTAATGAAATCTGTTTACACTTTATTTGTTTTTCTTCTTCTTTCCCTCCTTCCTGAATAGAGAGTAGTCGACTGTTTTCGTTTTCTCAGTGCCTGTATGACGAGAATGCGCTAACCACGACTCCCTTTGATTTCAACTTTTTTGGCGTTTCGTTTCATTCTCTTCGATAAAAATCTCTTATCAGCAGCCTTCTATACGGTGTTGTTGTCCCGTCACTGTGTGTATGCTTTGCCTTTGGCGAAGATAAGGTCGCAGGAAAGGAAGAGTATAACTGCAAGCTGCCAAGCATTCGAGATTCACATGCTGGACGCTGTCTCCGCTCGCGGGCTCACATTGGCGCCGCAGCACTATCGGTCATATCATTCACTGGTGTTGTTTTGTTAGCTGCTCCTTTTCAAGTCAGACAGATGTAGCTGAACAGAGCACTTATCTCGTTTCTAGAACGTATCCACTTTCCTGTGTTCTTATCAACCGTGTACCGTCTCACTTCATTTTGCATCCCTTCCTCGTCTTCTCTCTCGGCGCACTTCGCTCTTATTCACAGACAAACACACAGTATAAAGAAGATTGCAAGCTGCCTCATTCACTTTCTCCCCCGCTTTGGCTTCCCAGAAGGAGGAAAAGCTCGCGTGCGGAACTTATGCATCAATATTAACGTGTCGCACGGACTTTGGCTCTACGCGAACGTGCGATTTCTGTTTCCTTCGCGGTGGTGCTGGTCCTTCTACGGTTTCTTCTTGCTTGTCGTCGCCTGCACGCCGTAGAATACCATTCAACCCACCTCCCGTTACTGTCCAACTTTGTCACCTCAGTGCTTCCCGTTCACAGCAGTTTTGATTGTTTCTCACCTCTTTCTTTGCTGGTTGCATCCAAAACAACTGTTTTCCTCTTCTCACTTTCATGTCCCTCGAACTCGCCAACAGCGTCTGCTTCATCGCGGCGGCCGGCGCCCGTCACGGCCAGTGCATCTCCGAGCAGTGCGTTGAGCGTCGTTGCAGCGTTCCTCTGACAGACGTGCACGGCGCATTGGTGGAGGAGCTGGCCGCCACTTCACGACGCCCGACACGTGCTTCCGCATCCCGCTGGACGGGCTGGAGGAGATCGCACCCGACTCACCGTACAGGTACAAGGAGGGGATGAAGATGGCTGTGCCGAGCCGAGAGAAGACGGCGGAGCTGATGCGGTATGTGCTGCAACACCCGGAGCACGCGCGGCGTGTGGGGCAGCGGGCACGTGCGCTGATGATGCGTGAGATGAGCGAGGAGGCGGTGGCGGACGCGATGGACAGTCTTTCCAGTGGCTGCGGTGCTTCGCAGTGCGGGATGATGAACGCGTCCACTGTGTGGTGAGAAGTCTTTTCCTTCAAAAAGACATGCATGTACGGCACAGTTTCCTGTCTTTTACACAGCGTTTCAACACCGTCGTTTGAGTGAGGCCAAGTGGCAGGAAGAAGAAGAGAGAAAACTAATTGGCATCCCCTCCGCTGAGTAGAACTTCGTGCTTAAGCGCAACGAAGCCACTGTGCAGTCGCACTCGGCCTCAAAAGTCCTTGTGTCCTTTCTCCTTCGTACATCGATGGTGACTCACGTACAACGTATCAGAACTGTACGAAACCAGGAAAAACAACAAAAACCCCGAGAAGCGATGTTGCTGGGACAGCAGCAAACTCTATTTAACACGAGTCTTTGCCGCACCGTGCCGACCACCCAGTAGCATTTCCATCTCTTGATTTCCGTTTTTCTTTTTTGTGGCTTCTTCTTCTTTTCGTCTCTGCGTGCTTGGTGTCTTTGCTAGCGTTGTTGGTGTGCGTTTTCCTCTTTTTTTTCTCTTCTCTGTGCGTGTTCCTCCCGCATGTCCGTGTGACAAGTGGGGGGTCTGTCCCGTTTCCTCAACACGCCAGCGCGGTGACGTTCTTCTCGCGCGTGCTCCTCGCACACGGGGCGTGCACGCGTCGTACGGATCCCGCAGGACTTGTGTTTGTCAGCCCATAAGAACCCCATGCAACCACATAGCATGACGATGATGAGGTGCCATGCGCGAATGGTTGCCCTTCTCAACGGTCTGCCGCAACAGGCGTTACGCGGCTGGTTGCTGTAAATACTTACGCTTTTTAATGCCTGTCTCCGCCTCGGGCGTGACTTGGTGCCCGCGTGGACTGTGTGTTTCCTTCCGTCTCTCTTCTTGTGTTCCTCTGCTCACTCTTCTCGCATTTGTCCCCATCGCCTTCGTCTCCTTCGCACCACCGCGCCCCCCCCCCCCTCATTCTCCAGAAAGGCGGCGCCGGTTCAGCGTGATCTCCACGAGTTTACGATAGTCCCTACGTGAGCTCAAAGATCCAATCATACAACTGTTGATCTGGTTTGTTATTTTCTTATTTTATTGTTTTCTAATTTTTGTTGTTCATTGTTCATCTTTTTATTATTCTATAGTGCTTTCCTTCATTGTTCATTTTCCTGGGTATTTTCAAGTCCGAGTTGCGGTGCTGTTGACGATAAAAAGAAGTAGATACCGTGGACACACCGTTACGCACACGACTCGACCCAGTCGTGATTGCTTGTCGCAAAGCACCTCAGCGAGTGCTATAATTTCGCTGCTTCATTGTTTCTTTTTAACTGCCTTTTCTTATTTTTCCCCCAAACTGCAGGTTTCTGGTCGTGCTACGTGCTCCTTTGCGCCAACCTCACGCATACAGTCGGTGCAGGCTTTTGTTACACACCGTCTCCTCTCTTTGGTGCGCAGGCGTACGCACCGCCTTCTCCTTTCCGAAAGCTAGACGGACTTCCAGCGGTTCTTTTTCATTTAGTGCATGTTGAAGCATTCCTCTCGTAGTTTCTTTTTTTTTCTGCTTGCAGAATCGTTTCCGTAAACGCCATGGGAAAGGGTAGCAGTGGGCCTCCGGGTGTCAGCGGTGACGAGGCGGTGGTGGTGCCGCCGTCATCACAATCTGGTCCATGTCAGCGTCTCCGTCGTGGCCCTGCAGCGCCGGTGACGCCGCCCTCGGCCAAGCGCAAGTCCGCTGCCCACAACAGGATTTCTGCAAGAGGACGCATTTACTACGCGAAGCTGGTCACAACCGCAACTACTATTATAATTATGATGTGCATCCTTTATAACTCGATTGGAAGCATCATCACAGTCCCAAACGTAAAGATCGTACCGGTGCAGCCCGTGCAGGTGGAGTCAGGGAAGGCCAACCCCATTGCGCTCATTATGCCGCTCGTCGGCTACCCGCTGAGCAACAGCACAGGAGTGGAGTTACTGCGTGAGCTGCTGCAGCCGCTGCTGCTGTCGGAGGCGGCACTGTGCTACCGCGCGGCCGACGGAGCGGCGGTACCGGTGGCGGCGCACGCAGTCGTCGTGAGTCGCGTGTCGGCCACTGCGGTGCGGAGTGCGGTGCGTGGCGTGTTGGCGAAGGGCTCGACGACGGCGGGGTCGGCGGTGGCGGCGGCCGAGGCGGGCGGGTCGCTGACGTCCGGTGCGCGGTGGCGGACGTGGGAAGTGAGTGCTGCGTCGGTGCGCTCGGCCCTGCGACTGGCGAACGCGAGCGACGGCAGAGGTGCGCGGTGCCTGGCGGAGGCGGTGACGGTGGTGGCGCGTGCGGTGGAAGACGGCGACTCGCTTTACGACAAGGAGCCGGCGGAGATGCTGGAGGTGCTGGTGGACGCGGGTCTGCGGACGCGCGGCGGGGGTGCGGGGACGCACTTTGTGGTGCTGCCGTCCTTCTTGAGCGCGTCGAGGATGGCGTACACGGAGCCGGACGATGCGTCGGAGGCGCGGCGCGCGGGGACGGGGCTGTTGGATGCGCTGCTGCGGACGGCGACGACGCGCAACGGCGGTCGTGTGGCGGCGGCGCAGTGCACCATCCTGGCAACGGCGGAGCAGCCCGGCTCGCCTTCCCTCTTTCCGCCCGGTCTGGTACGAGCGGAGCTGTCGCCGCACGACCTGCAACGCCTGCAGGTGCTGGAGAAGGCAGCCATTGTGGGCAGCACCTACGACGCGGCGATGCTGGTGCCTTTTCTGGCGCGGCGGTTCAGTGGGTACCTCGCCACGGATCAACGCGCCTCGTGGGAGGAGGTGGTGGACGCGGTGTCGCTGAACTGCGGTATCTTCAGCCGCAGCCTCTACAACGCCGTCGGCGGCCTCGCAGGCGCCCTCTCCGTAAGCGGCGCGCAGCACCCCTCGAGTACGCTTCCCGATCACGTGCTGGCGCGCCGGACCGCGGGGGGTGGGCGCTGTCGCTGCGGATGCAGGAGGTGTACCCGGACTGGCAGGTGTGGAGCAGCCGCGGCGTGGCGGTGCTGCGGGACGACCTTACGGCGGGGCGCAGCAGCCCGATAGTCCAGAGCCTCTTCTCTGCCCTTTTCTCTCTCCGCGACGCGTACGGAAGGCGAATGCATCCGCTGCTCGCGGGGCTCCAGCGACGCCGCGTGGGGCAGCCGTGGCGCACCCGCCAGACACAGCTGCGAATGTGGAACAGCACCGCTGTCCCTTCGCATTTCCCGGCCGTAATCTCCTATGAGACCGACTTTCCCTGTGCCTGCTGTGGCCTCAACCGAGAGGCGATGGGCTACATCCGGCCCTTGATGGAGCGGTACGCGATTCGCACCCATATCGGAAGGCAGGTGTGTCAGAAACCAGGCGGCGCTGTGCTGGACGCGGCCTACCACACAAGCCGCTACAATCGTGTGTTGTCGGCGCCGGTGGGCACGGAAGCTGATGATTCGTATTGGCATGAGGAGTTGAAACGGCGGGCCCGCGTGTTCTTCTTGCATATGCGTGCCTATCGTAATACGGCCCACCTCCCCACGCAAGGTAGTGTGGTGAGCGTGAAGATCGCTCGCAGCCTCAGCGAGCTGTCCAACATCCCACCCAACTGGGTCCAACCGCTGCGGGAGTCGCGGGACCAAATTTGGGCCACGGCGGACTTCTTCGCCACGATCTACCGCCGCAACGGCATCGATCCGGCGAAGATACGCGTCGTGCCGGAGGCGGTGGACGTGTACGACTTCGACCCGGCAAACTACGAGCGTGAGCCCATCACAATCCCTCCAGGCGACACGGCCAGTTTCGACAGTCTGCCAGATCTAGCGCCGGAGGAGCGGCTGCAGCGCTACGTGTTCTTATCGAACTTCAAGTGGGAGGCTCGGAAGGGGTGGGATGTGCTGCTCGGTGCGTACTGGGACGCCTTTGGCCCGCACGCCCCACCGGAGCTGCGCGGCCGCACGACGCTGGTGATCAAAACACAGTTTAAGAATCGCTACGCGGAGGACGCCAGGTGCTCCGATTTAGTGCACTTTATTGAGAGGTGGGGAATGATGGGCCATCTGCACGGCATGCGGGGGGTCGAGGACCTCCCTCATGTTGTGGTGCTATGCACTTCGATGAGCGGCCCGCAGCTGACACAGCTGTACGCGAGTGCGGACGCCTTCGTGTTCCCGTCAAAGGCGGAGGGCTGGGGGCTGCCGGCGACGGAGGCGATGTCGATGGGGCTGCCGGTGCTGCTCACGGAGTGGAGTGGGCTGCGCGGCTTCATCACACCGGACACGTGCTTCCGCATCCCGCTGGACGGGCTGGAGGAGATCGCACCCGACTCACCGTACAGGTACAAGGAGGGGATGAAAATGGCTGTGCCGAGCCGAGAGAAGACGGCGGAGCTGATGCGGTATGTGCTGCAACACCCGGAGCACGCGCGGCGTGTGGGGCAGCGGGCACGTGCGCTGATGGTGCGTGAGATGAGCGAGGAGGCGGTGGCGGATGCGATGGATAGTCTTTTCATTGAAACCGTGACAGCACGTCTCTAAGGGCTGTAATGTAGGAAAGTGGAAATTGAAAAAGAAACGGCTCTCTGCCATCATGTCGTACAGAGAAAGAAGTCAAGCAGTTCTGAAACCGTGCGAGCTCCTCAAATGGGGGCACCAGCAAGCGGGTACAGGATCGAATGTCGTGGGGATCACATAAAAAGAGCTGTTGCACCGCGTATGAAGCCTCTCAATCAGACACAGCCAGTAATGTGACCTGCACTTGTTAGAGGTTTTACAACTGGGCATCGTGGTTGCGCCTCACCCCCTGCAGTTTCCACCTCCGTTTGTCTTCCGTCCTCACATATATTTTTTCTTCTCCATCACCACCAATTCTCGTGTGCACTGCGGTAGACTTCAATAGTGATACACGCCACTCTTCACGACTATCAAGTTCGCTCTTTCGTGTACCTACACCGCACCTCTCTTGCATAGCTATTGAAAAAGCATCTCCCTACCGTCTAAACGCTGAGGCTCTTCTTCTTTTTATCTCCCCTTTCCAGTCGTTTAAACCCACATTTCCACGGAAAGATGTCCCCCAATCCTCTGTTGGTGCGGGGCACGCTATAGTCCTGATACCCTGCCTTCGGTAAGCTCAAGGTAGAGCACGACGCCCCCGCTTTTGTACAGAGAAGACGGGCACGTTGCTGGTGCGTCCCCGCCTCGCTTTCCATAACATCTGCGCCTCACACACCAACCCCGAGATGCAGCACCTGGAGGAGACTTATGCCGCTGAGTTTTCCGCTTACACAGTCAAGATCTACCTCGACCCTTCTCTCGATCACCGCACTAAAGCTGTGTACGACGACCGTGGTGGGCTGGCCGGCGAGGACCTGCGCCTCGTGGTGTACTACGAAGAGCAGATTCGCAAAGCGGGTGCTGGTCTGGACGACGCTGGCAAGGGGGAACTGAAGCAGGTCAACGAGCACTGGGCGATGTACGACGAGGTGCTGCGCGACTATGCGATCCACTGCGAGACGAGGGAGCCCATTACGCAGGCACCTGTGGGCCGCGTGCGCGCTGCTGAGACGTACGGTGCGGGCTTTCGTCACCTTGAAGTGACAAAGGCGTCCATTATCGACATGCACTAGCACACCGTCTCCGATGCGAAGGAGTTTCACAGCGTGGAGGAGAAGGAGCAGGCTGCGCTGCGGAGTTACGCGGTGGACCTCCCTGCCGTCCCCCCGCGCTACCACAGCGGTCACTTCCTGCACATCTTCCAGTGAGCGTACTCTGCTGATTACTCTTCTTACCAGTGGGCCCGCGTACTGGACTGCGATGGCTTCGAGTGGTTCCTGGAGAACGGCGGTCTGACGCGACAGAACGGCGACCACCTGCGTGCGTGCGTGCTGTCAGTGGGCAGCTCGATGGACGCCAACGTCGCGTACGAGAAGGTTGCAAGACGCAGAGCGAACATGAAGGCGTTCCTGCGCGTCAACGGCATTTTGGAGTAGTGAACGTGTCCTTTTCTGAAATCCGCATCGGTACAGCCGCAGTGGCGGTCGTACTGTGCACGAGCTGAAAGCGCAAGAGGGTCTCGACACCCCTCTCGTGAGTTACTGGTGCTTTTTCTTG